TCTAACTTCTAAGACCATCCGAAGTCTGAAAAATATATATGTGAATGTTTTTGAGGATTCTCTGAATGTTTGTATAGGTTCTTTTTATGCCTACTAAGTTTTGATGTAGGTCCTGCTAGGTATATCTTGACAGGTTGTGTCGATCATACTTGAAAAATTCTTTCTATATCACTCATCAGATTGCATCAGCATATGTTGATATCTTTTGACATGTGTGCAACATGGTTTGGCTGACAACAATAAGCCAACTAGGTATTCGACGAAATGTCCTAGTGAATAAACTAAAGTTTTTTTTGGGTTTCGTGCTATTTTTATATTGTATTTAACTCTGAACCCGCAAAAATTCGATTCCTGGATTAAACACTATCTTCCGCCATCCTTACTCCGCTCTTCTATAACCCCTCATTTCTAGTATATACTTCCTCCCAATCTCGAACACAAGAGTAAAAACTAACACCAAAATGATTACCAAAATACACCACTTTCATTTTCATATAATCTCCTTTGTTTCTCCCTCCTCGCAGCTCCCCATCACATCCCTTCCAACTACCAACTGCTTAGCGAGGATTGAGGAAGGGGGGTGGGCAAGAGAAGGAGACTATCCCAACATAAATTGCACATTAGTTTTTTGTCTGTGCCAAGCAACGTTGTCGCCACTTGTGTGAATGAAGGGGGAGCAACGTTGTCGCTACTTGTATGAATGTAGGGCGACCTCCATCTTCTGGAAACATAAGTACACTGCTTACTATACTACCTAATAACTAACTTGGTCTTTGTGGCACCTTTTATGTCTTTAAATATAGGGCAGTGTAATTTATTGGGACTCAATGACTCGTGTCCTTGTTCATCCGAATTGCGATGACCTGCACCGATATTGTTTTCAACTTCACATACAACTTAATTAGGTCTTCACGTATGTGTGATCAAGTTCTTAATGTACCTATTTTGGCAGTCTCATCTCCCATTTTTGGGACGATTCTAAATTTCTAAAGTAAGAATATATGCTAAGTAATTAAGGCTACATGTTTGGGGTGAGGGTTTTCCAAGTTCCAAAGGATTAAGGTCAAGTTAGTAAAGAATGAATCATAAAAAATTAGATACGAGAGATCAGAAAAGCCCTCCTTGAGTATTATAAAGACATGTAAGAGAAATTAGCAAAACCCTACTTGGAATGTGTCATTTGCTAATCTCTTTTGCATGTCTTTGTAATCCCTTCTATATACGAAGGGCTTTTCTAATCCCTCCTATCTAATTTTTATGATCCTTCCTTGTTAACTTTGCCTCAATCTCTTAGAATTTGGAAAAACGTTATCCAAACATAGATTGTCGGAAGCTCGCAGACCTCCTGCGTGTACTAGTATAATACAAAGATATACTTTGTAAAACGGATGTATTTCACTCTAGCCATTGTACTCGGCTTTAATTAACATAATATCGTTTAATGTATGTAGGGTCAATTTGTACATGCCTATACTGTTGTATAGCCTTCACAGTGCATGAAATGTATGTTTATAGGTCCAAGATTTTACTCGTGTTTGATGTCTCTTTCTAAAAGTAGGTTTTATTATTCGTTAGCGGATGAGGTTTTATAAAATGAATTTTAACGAAAAGTTTCCGGTACTATTTACTTTAACGAAAAACTATATTTTTACACTAAAAAGTTAATTATGGTACTATTCACTTTACCCTTTATTTTGTCCTTATCATTAAAACTCAAAATTTTTAAACCATTTTCATTAGTTTTTTTTTTTATAAATTATGGAAAATGATTTCCGTTCATTCTTTTATTTTTCTGCACACTCGAGTGAGAAGAAAAATAGTGATGAGTCATCTAAAAATTGTTGTGGTGAGTGAGGTGAGCATAGTAATGAATGGTGGTTCTGTTCCTCATTACACGTTTACTATTTTTTTTTTTGGGTAAAGATTACATGTTTACTTTGGCAGTTGGCAATCACAACGTTTTATGGTGGTGGTTCTACAAGTTGGTTGTTTTTGCTTCATCATCTATGATCTATCTAACCTTTCAGTTTATTTAGTTTGAAGAATCAATGGGATTATGTTTATGGGATCATAACTTGGAATCTGAAAGGTAATCAATAATCCCCCTCCCTAGTATCACACGAGGCAGGAACATACTTTTGACCCCCGAATAAAACAGTACACCAAAGCAGAGCCGGTTGCCCCAAGAAATGCATCCTTGGGAGTTCAAACTAAACCAACCCCTTGGGGTTTTGTCCAAGTATAAGATAAACTTTCCCTCTTTGACAAAAGAAAAATACGATAAAGCACCATTTCCTAACTGAAATGACACACGAATAAAGGTCACGAACCAAAACGATACATGGTTGTTTAGATATGGGATAAATACCCTTTAGTGATGATACCAAGGTGTTCAAGTACGAGATACATAACCATTTCAATGAAGGGCTAACTTATATTTTGATTCCTTAGTAAGGGCAAGATTTGTTATGTAGAGAAATAATACGTATACCTAGCATACGAATTCGGATGAATTTCACCAAATAAATAAGGCTTTTTAGCTAAAATGGTTCCTGAGATTTTCATAACACGTAAATTTGGTATCTGAGATTTAAAATCAATAGAAGTGGTTCTTGAGATTGTCTACCATCCATTATTTTGGTCATTCCATTAAAAAACTCCGTTAAGTGGTCCCTGAGCATTTTATTGGAAGGAGCAAAATGATGAATGGTGGACAATCTTAAAGACCCAATTTATGTGTTATGCAACTCTCAGGAATCAAAATTATGTGTTATACAAATCTCTAGAACCAAAGTTATGTGTTATACCCTTAACTTAACGGAGTTTTTTAATGGAATGACCAAAATAATGGATGGTGGACAATCTCAGAAATCACTTCTATTTATTTTAAATCTCAGGAACGATTTTAACTAAAAACCAATAAATAATACTTGTACAGAAAGCTTCAAGAGTTGAGTTAGGCATTGGTGGGCTGAGAGTTCATTCCAGTTCAAACAGTACACAGCCTGAGCCTGCGGTCCATAACAACCAATTTGATACAGGATTTCATCTCCTAGGCCTTATCAAAAATGGCAGCTAAAGTTAATCACAGGGTGTAAAGCTTTGAACATATAACTAGTCTATCTATAACTGTAAGAAAGAGGAGATCATATGAAAGTGCAGCCGATATTTTCGCACTGAAGCTTCCTACGGAATAATCTAATGAGTGAACTGCAACTTACCTTTGCAAAACTAACTTGCTCTGCAAGAAGAAATGTTCAAGGGCTAATTGATTCTTCTTCTGTTTTGTGTTTCAAATAATTTGGGACATATTGAGGGGACAAATTCCAAAACACAACAGAATTTCACTGAAAAGTGAATCTTTCTTCCTTGCATATTATGAAGGCAATAATCTTGAATGTTTGACAAAAGAAGAACAATTTTAAAAGAGAAAGAAAGAAAGAACGAAAACTCACGAAATTGATAATTCTCATCGTAAGGGCTTGCTGGCTCTCTATAAGCTTCAATTGACATGGAGTAGTACTATCAATGGAAGCCTGAAAGGTGCGAGTGGAAGGAAAGACTCATCAGAAGGAAGAGAATCCTGCAATTTGTCGAAACTTCTCATACGAGACCCAGAACACGAATTGCCAAGGACCGAGCCTTGCCCATGTCGGAAAGAACCCTTTCCACAGCGCTCTTAAACCTTCAACTTTGACAGTCTTCACCAGACAATCATACGAATTGTTGTACATAATCTTCCCTTCCTTGCTCCTCGATTGATTCATCATTCTCGTCTTTACCACGTCAGCTGGACAACTCAAAGCAGTTGCCGAAAGGCCTGACATGATCGACGCCAAAGTGTGAGCGTATATGTTGTCTTCAGAAATCCGATTCTCGATCACAAAACGTTTTGCCTGATCATAACAAGCCAATTCTCCCATGTTCACCAAGAATGCTCTTTGGACATTAGGGAAAACCCCTTTCCAAAGTCCCCCAACGCCTTCTGCTCGTACAATCTTGTTCAAAGCATTGAAACACCCCGAATACCGAGGCTGTATACCTTGGGCCACCGTCCGACCGTCTGCTTGCATCCTTACCTTAACAAGATCTGCAGGGCTTGCTACCAACTGCACTACTAGCAGTAAACACAAGCATATCATACTTCCGAAGCAAATGCAGAATTTAAAACAATTATTGCACCATTTGATTGGCAAGGAATTGCACAGCTAGAACAATCATGTCGAAAAAGCTTGTACTTTTCAGTAGGGTTTTTGTATATACAAAAACTAAAGTCGCAAGCTTCATTTTTCTTAATGGTCCACCGCAAAAAGCTTGGAATTTTTTTTTTTTTTTCCTTTACATAATTTTGTGAATTTTCCAAATTCCCAAATCCAAATAACTTATCAAAATTATAAATTCCAAAAAAAAAATTGAAAACCCAACATGTTAAGCACAACAAGAAAGCAAGTTACCTGAGCAACGACGCCGGAGATTCCACCGGAGAGAGCTTTGGCGGGGAGAGAGAGGGACCCACCGTCGCTCTTCAGCGAGTTTCTGAGCTGCTCGTACCCGACGATCCGAATCGGCGTGTAGAAGAGGTGTCTGAGAATCGCCGGTGACAAGCCCTTGTACAATCCCACCAGACCTTGCTCCCGCACGATTTCCGAGGCGACCCGGAACGCGTTGGTACGCCGGGTTGACCCAACCGACACCGACTCGCCGTGCAGCTGAAGCCTCGTCTTCGTCAGGTCGACCGGAAATGTTGTCGTCTCCGCCACCATGGCCGAGACCGACGCCAGTAATATCTTCCTGTACGCTCCGGGGTCTTCGCTCTGTTTCATCGTCGACGAGCAAAAGCTTGGAAATTGAATCAGTAAAGTTGCTATAATCCAGTCGCTGTAAACGACATCCCTTTCCATAAACGACAGCGTGTTCTGTATGTCGTTTATTTACCATCTGAACTCTCTGCAGCGTGTAAATTGGAGGGTTTCCTGTTTCGAGCTTCCGCGGCTTCTGCAATGGCGGATTCGATTTCATCAGTCTGTAACCTAGCGGTTCTCGACAGGCTCAGCGACGACTCCATCAACGAAATCCTCGAAAGCTACAGCGGCTTCTGCGCCGCAACAGACACCCTTCTGACCGGCGCCGGCGACCTCTCCGCCGGTCAGCAGATCGTATCTCACGTGCACGGCCTCTGCAAGCACGGGCTCGAGTCCCTCCTCCGCGACTACTTCCTCGGCGCTCTCGAGCGAACCTTCGAGAAAAATGGCGCCTTGAAATTTTGGCGGCATTTCGAGGAGTACGACGGCGACGGTTCGATCGAGGAGGAAGTGTTCTACAACGCTCTGGAAGAAATAGCAATGGAAAAGCAGTACCAGGAGAAGTGCTTATTGATTCTGGTTCACGCTTTGCAGTCTTACAACCAAGGGAGCCATGATTCTGATGATTATAGAGCGGAGCTTTTTGCTAAGTACCAGTTATCAGTGTCTTCGGTTCTTATGGCAACTCTCCCTCGACATTTTCCAGGTACCGAAAAGTTCATAAAAATCTCGACTTTGATCGATTTACATTTCCCTTTTTCTAATTTGGTTCTGCAATTACTGCAATTTTTTTTATGCCTCAAATTTTCTGAATTCTAGAGGTACTCCACTGGTATTTTAAGGGAAGGTTGGAGGAACTGAGTACTATGATGGGCGGTGAATTCCCGCGTGACCACGATGAGGATGATGGTGCAGATGATATGGATGTGGATGACAAATGCAAAGTCTCATACAGGAGTGGACAGATGGAGATTGATGAGTGCTATCCCCAAGGCAGGTTCTTGGACAACAATAAATTGGTGAACAACATTGGGAAGGTTGTTCGCGATCTTAGAAGTCTCGGGTTTACATCTATGGCTGAAGATGCCTATGCCTCTGCTATATTTTTGTTTCTAAAGGTGATCAGTCTCTGCTGTTTTTTTCGTCTATTACATTTTACTTTTTATTTCATTTGTCTTTCTAACTTCTAATTGTCTTGTTTGAGTGACAGGCCAAAGTTCATGATCTTGCTGGTGATGATTACCGGGTTTCTTTTTTGGAGTCCATTAAGCGGTGGATACAGGTTGCTTTCGCGTGCTTGTGCTTTCTTTCCATTTTGCTTGTGCCACAATTATGTCGCGCATTAATGGTTTAGTCATACGTTAAGGCTTTACTTTATGTTTTCAAAGTGCAAAGTTTTCTTTTATCATTCCAATGTGTATTTTGCAGGCGGTGCCTCTTCAGTTCTTGCATGCTCTTCTTGCTTATCTTGGTGACACTGTTAGTTATGATAGTGCTTCATCTGGTCTCAAGTCACCTTTGGCTTCATGCCCTTCTACATTTTATCCTGGAATCGACATTCCATCAGAAGGACTTGTTAGATGGCAGTTGCGACTTGAGTATTTTGCTTATGAAACTTTGCAAGATTTAAGAATAGCCAAGTTATTTGAGATTATTGTGGATTATCCTGACAGGTATGTGCTTTTCTTAACTTGGGGTTCCCTTGCTTTCCAGTTGTTGAAGTCCACCATGATATTTAACTGGTTAAGGAGGGGGAATTCGGTAGCTTTTACGAGCTGTATTGTGGCTTACCATGACCACTTTTTGTCTTTTTGGGGTTTTGCAGCGCTCCTGCGATTGAAGATTTGAAACAATGTCTTGAATACACTGGACAGCATTCTAAGCTGGTTGAGTCATTTATCACTGCACTGCGTTATCGTTTACTTACTGCAGGTGCCTCAACCAATGACATTTTGCATCAATATGTTTCCACGATTAAAGCACTCCGGACAATAGATCCAGCAGGTGTTTTCCTCGAATCAGTTGGCGAACCAATAAGGGACTATTTGAGGGGAAGGAAAGACACCATAAAGTGCATTGTGACCATGCTTACAGATGGCACTGGTGGGAATTCAAATGTGTCTGGAAACACTGGGGATAGCCTTCTTGAAGAATTAAACAGAGACGAAGAAAATCAAGAGAACACTGGTCTTGATGATGATTTCCACACTGATGACAAGCAAGCATGGATAAATGCGTTGCGGTATGTGCATGGAAGGCTATAGTTGAAGATTGAAGTGTAATTTAGTTGCTTTTGAATTTTGGCACTTACTGTATATAGATGATGTAATTTCTGAGTGATTCTGCCATTTCAGCTGGGAGCCTGACCCTGTAGAAGCTGATCCCTTGAAGGGTAGCAGGAACCGAAGGAAGGTTGATATACTTGGGATGATTGTTGGCATAATTGGTTCAAAAGATCAACTCGTTAATGAGTACCGTGTTATGCTGGCTGAAAAGCTTCTCAATAAATCTGATTATGACATCGATACAGAGATACGTACTCTTGAGCTCCTCAAGGCTAGTGCTTCTTTTATCTACCGGATGAAGTTAGGATTTATTTATGTTGTGTTTATACTTTCTATTTTAATGTGTAATCATTCTTCAGATACATTTTGGAGAGAGCAGCATGCAGAAATGCGAGATTATGCTGAATGATCTGATTGATTCTAAGAGGACTAACAGCAATATTAAAGCAACCATAAGTCAGCCGTCTCAAACGGGTATCTTTCAAATTTTATGTTTCACCCATGAGTGATGGCTTTGGGACTTCTCTCTCCTGCATTACTAGAAGACCAGTTATTTTATTTCATTCAGCTAACTTGGGGTGGATGTCTTAGGTACTGATCTGGGAGATAAAGGGGTGTCCATGGATAATTTTGATGCTACAATCATCTCTTCAAATTTCTGGCCTCAAATCCAGGTAATGAATTGTTTCCTCTGGTAATATCATTTATGTTGAAGTTTTTGATAGAGGGAAAAGATCTTGGATCATGGATTTGCATGCTCTTAATTTGAAGTATCTTTATATAAATTTCAGGATGAGTCCCTCAATGTACCTGGGCCTGTTGACCAACTACTATCTGATTATGCAAAGAGGTTTAATGAAATCAAGACACCCCGTAAACTATTATGGAAGAAAAGTCTTGGTACTGTCAAGGTACGGTGCTTGCACAATGTCATCTCAAGCCCTTTCTATTAGGAGTTTTTTGACCTGCTTACTTTTTCTTTATTCCCTTGAACCACTTAATCTACGTTAACAACGTGTATGGTGGTTGGTGCTGTTTTAGTTGGAGTTGCAATTTGATGATAGGACAGTGCAATTCATGGTTGCTCCCATACAAGCAGCAATTATAATGCAATTTCAAGATCAGACAAGGTATCATCAGAAATATCTTAATACACTTTGTTATTCGTTACCTATTTTTTGCTATATTTATATTTTCTACTTTCAGCTGGACCTCTAAGGATCTTGCAGCTGCAATTGGGGTTCCAGTAGACGTACTTAATCGCAGGATAAATTTCTGGATCAGCAAGGTATGCTTGATAAACTCATACTTTCATGTTTCACGATGTGCCTCTCGTCATTCAGTACATAAATAGATAAAGAGTATTCGAAACTTTGGAATCAGCACCAGCGGTTAGTTTAAATGGATCCTTACCTGTTTTAATTGAAGTTTTGAGATTTCGAAGTCAGAAGAAGGCTCATGCACTCTTCTCTATTTTCCTATAAAGGGAATTCTTGCAGAATCACCCAGGGCAGACTCTGAAGACCACATGTTTACACTAATGGAAGGCATGGTTGACACGGGTAAAAATGGTGGTAACAATGGGAGCATTGAGGATCTTGTAGTTGGTGATGAGGAGGGAGAGAGCTCTGTGGCTTCGGTAGAGGATCAACTGCGCAAGGAAATGACTGTGTATGAGGTATGTGATGTCTTCGAGATTTTCCAATCTTGCTTTCAGTAATGTACTTTCATCTGTAGGTACGAGGGTAAGGGGGCAAAATTGCCGCTCGTGACACTATTTGCCAGATAGTGCTGGATAATTGTGTCAAGTATTGATCTCGCTCATGTAAACCGTTAAACGCATGATGCCTTTCTGTTCCCAGCTTTTGAAACGGTGTTTGGTTTGTTGCAGAAATTTATCTTGGGGATGCTCACAAACTTCGGAAGCATGGCATTAGATCGAATTCATAATACTCTCAAGGTAAGGATGATTTCAACATTCCCCGTGATATTTAGTTTCTGCAAAGCTGTTTTTAATGTATCTCCGTACACTTTCCTACAGATGTTCTGTATAGCGGATCCACCTTACGACAAAACTCTCCAGCAGCTACAGAGTTTCTTATCGGGTCTGGTCTCCGAAGAGAAGTTAGAAGTAAGAGATGGAATGTACGTTTTGAAAAAGTAATTACTAAACAGATTTGCAATGTATTCTTTAGCACCCTAATCATTTGGTAAATTTATAGAGCTTGGCAAAATGCATCGGCTTCATTTCGTACACAATGCGTTGTTTTCCGTTTTGGTCTCTCTAAAATCTTTTCGTAATCTTTTAAATTAGGTTCATTGAATCCTCTACATTAGGTTTATTGTGTGAGAGATTTGTCGGTGTGCATTCAGAGATTTATTGTATTGAATCTGTACATTCTATATCTGTGACAATCTCCACGACGTCGTTCTGCTTTATTTACTGGCCATATATCTTACGACCTCGTCAAGATCGACATATCCGTTTAACGTTACAAAAAATGCAGAAAAAGAATAGGCAATGTGTTGGATCAAAAAAAAAAGAAAAGGCAATGTGACCGTTACATATAATCCCAAATTCAAAATCTACAGGGAACCGAAACCCTCATTAACCCCAACAGAATCGAAAATTCAGAGATGAGAGAAGAAACCAAGCAGCAAGATCAGCTCGCAATGGTGGCGGCAGAAGAGCAATTGCAGCAGCTCCGATCCAAAGCCACGGAGCTCCTCCTCCGTGAAGAATGGCAGGAGTCCGTACAAGCATACTCTCACTTCATCACCCTCTGCCGATCTCACATCTCAAACACCCTTCAAAACCCCGACCCAGATCATCTCCCCAAGCTCCGAAAATCTCTCTGCCTAGCCCTCTCGAACCGTGCAGAAGCGCGATCCAGACTCCGAGATTTTGCAGAAGCTTTGAGGGATTGCGAACGGGCATTGGAAATCGAGAGGGCCCATTTCAAGACTCTTGTCTGCAAAGGTAAGATCTTGCTGAATCTGAACAGGTATTCGATGGCGCTGGACTGCTTTCGAACAGCTCAGCTCGACCCACAGGCTAATGGGAGCTCCGTGGACCTCGATGGGTACTTGCAGAAGTCCAAGAAGCTCGAGCTGATGACGAGAACTGGAGCTTTTGATCTCTCTGAATGGGTTGTTAACGGGTTTTGCGGGAAGCCTCTGGAACCAGCTGAGTACATTGGTTGCGACGAAGAACATTGATGCCGGAACTTTGGTGTTGGTTGTGAAAGCTGTTGCCACAGAGAGGGGGATTTTGCCCGGTCAAGAATTGGATGAGAATGCCCAATTGGTCATGTGGAAGAACTTCACCGAAAAAGTTATGGATTCCGTGGCTAAATGTTCAAGAATCCGCGATTTGATTAGTACATTGTCGAGTGGGGAAGATGAGGATGAGCTTGAGGTCCCTGAGATCAATTGCTTTAAGCCCGAGGCGGAGCACAATGGCGGCTGCCATAATGAGAATGAGCTTGATGCGAGCAGGATTTTGAACATCTTGGTTGTCAATTCACTTGTTGAGGGTGCAATTTCTTCCAAGATTTTGGGGAAGAACAGCGATTACTACGGTGTTGGGCTGTGGGTGCTGCCTTCATTCATCAACCATTCATGTGTTCCGAATGCAAGACGTATGCATATAGGAGATTATGTAATGCTCCATGCTTCTAGAATGGAGGCCGGCGCTGCGGTTTATAAGCTGGAGGAAGGCATGAGGAGGTGGATGGTGAAGGAAAGGGAGAAGGGGTACTTGAGAGCATCGTTTTGGGATGCATGCTCTCAGGTTTATGGCACAGAGAAATCGGCAAAAGGGTGGGGAAGACGCATACCACAGCTGGAGACGGTGGTTGATAGCGTCGTGGAAGCGGTGGGAAGCGGTGGGAAGCGACGAGAGGGTGTTGAAGATGGTGGCGGAGAAGTTGAAAGAGAGGTGGTGGAGGAATGTTGGAAATGGAGAGAGCTTTGAAGTTGGGAAGAGGGGTGTACGGGAAACTAGTGAAAAAGCAAGCAATGAAGAGCCTTGTTGGTTTAGGCATTCCTTAATCAATGCTATTAACCAATAGCTTAGATTTATATTTTCTTGTATTAGCCAATAATCCACGGATGAGCTGATTTTTTGTTCAACCAACGGAATATATTACGCAGATTTTTTTTTTTTTCTCAACACGTCGATACTTTGAACTACTCTAAACAAGGAATAGGGGAATTTGAATTCGGATGCAAAAACTTCAGAAAATACAAGGGAAACAAATTAATTGTAACATTGAAAGCCCCATCGTTCATTCCCTCCTATCCTTGTGAGAATCGTCAAAGGAAAATATACAAAAAATTCGGAATCCAAATGGCTTAAAACCTCATATGTCAGTCATCTGAACGAGCTCTCTGTAAAAAAATGTGGTCGTCAAAGGAAAATACAAGAAATTTGGAATCCAAATAGCTTAAAATCTCAAATGTCGGTCATCCGAACGAGCTTTTTGTAAAGAATGTGGTCGTCCCTCCCGGTGTTGCTCTCTAATAATGCACTCTGCACAAGTTCCTGATGCAGAGAAACCAAGCATGACTAGACTGTCGACGGAAATAATACGAAGAGAGAACTAAGGGCAACAAAGTAAAGAAATTCTCATGATTCTCACCTTGACATCCCTGTGGGACAGGAATTTTCCCAAGTTGTGGATTATCAATCTCATATCTTCAACCTGAAAAAGTAACTAAAACAATTCAGCTCTCTCGCTTTTATTTTTCGGTAAACATATCAGTTTTCTCTAATAAGACCACAAAACAAATATATGCACTGAAGATTGCATCTTACCCTGACGTAGCCAACTTGATTCCTGTCAAAGAACCTAAATGCCTGTTTCAGATGGAAAAAGAATAAAAAGCAAAAGGATGGGATTAATGCATTGATCGAGGGAGCGCAACTGTTCACAATCGAACTATAATAATAAAGGTAGAAAGCTTCCGGAAGATACCTGCAATAGTTCCTTGTCAACAACCTCTTTTGCCTTGGGAGTTTCTTTCTTACCTGAATCCACCTTCCCCTCTATTCTGTCACCTGCATCTGCTTCGTTCTTGGCCTTTGTTTCTGCAGCCTTCTTGTTATCTGGTTCCTTAACATTGAGTTCATCCTTCTCATTTCCAGTCAATGGATCAACACTGCTCTTCCCCTCTTCACTGTTCTCATTAGAGGAGTGATGTTGAGGACTAGCATCCTCCATTTCTTCATCTTCTTCTGGATCTTCCTCTGGGTCTTCTTCTTCTTCTTCATCTGCTGTAGGCTCCATCTTCACCTCACCGATGTGATCAACAGAGCTATTATCTTGGGGAACTGCTTTTTCTTCATCTTGTTTCTCGCCACCTGGCTCAGATGGACTCAATGTTTCCGATGATTTAATAGCCTGGTTCTTCACAGGGAGCTCATTCACTTTAGGGTGCTGAGCAGGTGATTTTTCATCATTTTCTTGCTCGTTCACTTTAGGGCGCTTAGCTGCTGATTTTTCATCATTTTCTTTCTCAAGTTTTTCTACTTCTCTTTGCCTCTTACGTTGGTTTCTCTTGGTCACAAATTTTATGCGCAACTTCTGAAAAAACAAACTACATAAATGAGGATGCTAATGTCACCAAGAAAAAATATTAAATCACATCCGTACTCAGATTAACTGTGTCAAACCAACCTGTAGAAATGTCAAAAGACGACACCCCATCTGATACTGAAGCATTTCATAGAGCGTTTCACCAAAAAGTGAAAGCTGAAAAGGAGGAGGGAAAAGGAAGGAACAATTAGCTCTATTTTGCTACAGGCATAATGAGAAATTAGCAAAGAGAACACAGATCCAAAAGGTCGGTCATAGAATTAAAGGCAGACATTAAGACCAATAGATGCCATGAGAAAATATACCTCAAAACTTGATTCTTCAATGTCCTTGTCGGTATAGTCCAATAGAAAATCAAGTGAAAGTGATGACGAACGCAGCTGTTGCCAGATTAACTCACGATTAGAAAGAGTGAGCAACGAATACTAGAGAGGGTTAACATGCAAATATAGGTAATGCATACAATAAACAAACTGTACTATTCAGGCTATAGTAAACCTACTTTAGAATCCTTGCTCCACTTTGTTTGTAGGATAAATCCAGGGTGTCGAGGAGTTTCTTCAGGCTTTCTCTCTTTCAGCTCTTTATTTGATTTGCTTTTAGAATCATCTTTTCCATCTCGGTCTTTTTTCTCCTTCTCCTCTTTTGATTTTTCCGCATCTTTCAACTTTTTCTTAGGAGCTTTTTGTGCGTCTGTCTCAGTCTCCACTTTAGTCACAGAGCCACTTCTCTCACCAGCTGCCTTCTCATCTTTCTTTTCCTCCTTAACATCCTGGGCATCAGCTTTAGCTGAATTGGCCGCATCAATTTGCTTGTCACTGACTTGTGTTTTTGAAGCCTTCGGTTTAGAAGCAACCTTTTTTTCTGTTTCTACAGCATCGCTTGCTGGCTTTTCTACATCTGCTGTTTGCTTCCCCATACTATCATCTCCAGAAACATTTTTCTCATCCCCGTCACCATCTTTCTTACTCTTAGCAACCCCTTCATTCAGTTCAACACCAGTGACCTTTCTTTTAGGTACCCTCTTAATTACTTTCTTCTTTACAATTGTTTTCCCACTTGTATTTGTACCACCGCTTGGTGGATCAGCTTTCTCCTCAGAGCAGCCGGTATCCTTCTCAACTTTGACCTTTGGGCCAGTATTATCCTCATTCTGAGCAGCCTTCGCCACTGGAACCTTTTTAATAACTTTTTTCCTCACAAAGGTTTTCACTGCTGCAGGATCAGCAGAAGGTTCCTCCTCTTGACCAGGAGTCTCCGAATTACCTTTCGTTCCTCCTTCACCAAGACTTTCAGGCTGCTTGGTTGTACTATCATTGGTTGACTTACCAACAACCTTCTGTCGGACAACCTTCTTTATAATCTTCTTCTTCCCAGTCTTCACAGTTCCCGTTGTCTGAACTTCGGCAATTTCTACCTGTTCCTTTTTATCCTCAATCTTGGCTTTGTCTCCTCCAGTCTCATCTTTTTTCTCAAGCTTCTTGTCATTCACATCACTCTTTCCTTCAGATGCATTCCCTTTCAAATTATTACCATCTTGCTCCATTTTCTTAACTTCTTTTGCATCTCCAGTGGATGCAGACTCTTTCTTTTTATCGTCTTTCTCAACTTTTTTGTGTTTTGACGGTTCCGTTTCCTTGTCTGAATCAAAAACCAACATAGGTGTAATGATAAACTAGATTATTGATGAACATCAAATCAAAAAATGCAACATCATACACAACAAGAATACAAACTCCATTTACCTTGCAGCCCTTCTTTGTCCCGTGACCTCTGAAAGAACAAACATACTAGTGTTAAAAAGCAAGTAAACAATAAGCTGGTCAACCTAAATCCTGCTGTTAAATGTTTTGGGAAAATAAATAAAAAGAGACTGTGATACTAAAAAAGCATTTATGGAGTGTTCAAGAGCTTCAGTCAAAAAGAGTGTTCAAGAAGACTATGCTGTTGGATGAAAGCCCAAAAGTTAATAAAAGCATTACTATAGGCTTGCATCCTCTGATCCTATCATTTTACTTCTTATTTTCCATCCAATGGTTAACAACATGGCATGTTTGCTCTTAAAAGTACTTCGACATCAAGTTCTCAAACTATTTTGTGTGTGTACCAATGATCAGCAGCAGGGTTTAAAGGTAAATATTGGATTCCGTGTAGTTAATCCCAAAACAATTTTACTAAATCTTCTTAATCAGCAGTAGGACCCATGTTTAAATAGTTCCACTGTAGGGTAGCATGATTACACCATGCTTGTACATGCATGCTAAAATAAGTAAATACTGAAACAAAGAAAACCCATCCCAAACCATTTTACCGAAAATAAAACTATACAAAATCCAGGGAAACTGCAATTTCAAACAATAGAAGCAACAAACCTCTCTTTTCAAAGAAAGTTGACGCTCTCTTTCTGCAACAGCTTTCTTGTGAGCAAGCCAGCAGTCTCTCCATAAATCCAATGAAGGGAGACATTCAGACAAATCTGGGACAAATATTACAGTCACTTCTTTATGGCTAAAGAGTCCATCATTACCAATTCTGTCATAGTGTATCTGCAAATTTCAGATGGAACTGACGAATTAGTTGTGAACTAAAAACCTGCAAAGTTAAAAGGCCTTGCAAGTGGAAACTAGGTAACTATCACAACCATTACATGCAAAAATTACCTCAAGAAAACGATTCCAGTGCTTGCAGTTCTGCAGATCAAGTTTAGCAACATCCCTTCCATATCTACAAAGAAAAACTCATTCAAACAACTAGAAAAAAAATACTACTACTCTCCGTAATCTGTATCTTTATAACAGATAACAGACAGCACACACCTTACAGGCAGTTTGAATCAAAGCACTATCATCAACTGATGGATCTCCACCATCAGCAGGATTCCATGGACCACCAATTGCCATGCATGAACGGTCCTTTTTGAGAACGGCAAACCTAAGGATATTGCAGATGTGCGATATGCGATCATCGGAACCTCTTTCAGATGACAGCTCTTCCAAAGCATTCTTGCTAAGTCCGCTCATCAAGATAATCTGAAAGGAGAAAATAAACAACAGAAAATACTGCTCAAGCAAAACAATCACTGCTATGGCAGAAACAAAATAATAAGGTAGTACAATTACAATTTCACTCAACCAACATTTTAGTGGCTTACCTTCGCATTCCACACTATATCTCCACGTCCTGACTTTTCAGGTACTTCAACCAACATTTCAGTGACTGGCTCTGACAGCTTAGCTGCACCATCTTCTTCAACAAAATCATGCTCAAAACTGTGCCACTCAACAAGGCAGTACAATTACACTTTCATTCCTTCTAGTTTCTTTAAATAAAAAATTAATGTTCCTCTCTTTAAGAATCTTCAGGATTATATATCCTAAAGCAGAATAAGAACTCCAGAAAATTAATTAACTGACACAGCTTCAACAAGCAAATTACCTGACAGGTGTATGGATAGACAGTTGAAGGTTCTCCCTTGGCCAGTTGACAACAGCCTAAAACAATACAAACCACACTTAAAGTATGTACTTAACTATGTGTCCATAACCAATGAGTGAGAAATGAAAAATGTAAACATACCTTGCAAAACTCTGAGGGTATAAAGAGTCTGGGATATCGCTTATCTATGGAAAGATAATCCCTTTCTACATCCATCAGACTGATTGAGTAAACCTGCAAATAAATAATATTGTTACCAAAATGATCGAAACCGTAAAGACATTTCAGGTTGTAGACAAACCCTGTAGTTTACACAGAATGATCAGCCCACATGTTAAAAATTATTCGACAACTGTATATTTCGTTTGCAGAGTTCGATCAATTTTTGTTGTAGAAGGTAACTTTCTTCATTTGCAACAGCTATTACGGCAACTGAAAACTATTCACCTTTATCTAAGATCCACAAACACTTATATAAGATGATTTGGTGCAAGCTCTGGATTAAATTAATCCAGAAACTCCAGAATCAGCAATGGTCTCCTTGATGAGGAGGAATGTACAAGAACAAGCCCACAGACAGGAGAAAGAAGGTATAGTGAGAAGATAGAGGTGCCAAAGAACATGGTGGAGCCAACTATAAACAATAAGCCTAGGAAGGCAGAAATACAACATTTGCACATAGAGCCAAAAGACAAAGAGGAAGCAAAATCGAAGAGAATAGAAAAGGGTTAAGGATATCCCAGGAATTAAGACTGAATCCAGAACAGAAATAACAGGAAGCATCACGATTGAAACCAGTGAATAACTCAATTCCAAACACAAGACTAAAGGCAGATTTGAAGGGAATATATTTTCAACATCATTGAATGGCTAAGCTCTTGCAGTGGTCCTTTTACCTTGCAGGCATAATCTCTCCTTTTATCTTTAACAGGTGAATGACGCCTTCAGCATAACAGAACACCAGGTTAGTTAGAAAGGCTGTGAGACAAAGAAGCTATTTTCAAGAACTAGAGCAGGACGCAAAATAAAACATCAAGATCCACCTATGCATAGCTTCGTGATGCGGGGAATCCCTTCGTAAAGGTTTCCTCTCTTTTGCCAAAGAGGAACCGCGGCGATCCTTAGAAATAGAAACTCTTGGTGGAGTTCGTTCCCGCCTGGTTTCAAGTGCACGCTTGCGCTCTCGCTCTCTCTCTCCTTCACCCGCCGCTCCAAAAGACGTTCTCGTTCACGCTCTCTTTCTCGTTCACGTTCGCGATCGCGTTCGCGTTCCCAGTCCTTGTCCCTTTCTCTGTCTCTCTCTCTCTCACGCAAACGCTCCCGACGGCGCGCCTCCTCCATTAGCTCAAATTCTTGAAGATAACTAGCCCTGTCATCCTTGCGTTCATCAATTCGTGGATGACCACCATGAGACAAGCTGCTCGGATAATCTGACTCAAGTGATGGGCCACGGAGCCCTTTTCCTGTGGCATAGTCCCTACCAGGAGGTAAGCTGACTCCATAACCAGGATTTGAGGAACTTTGTGAAAACATGAGATCATCTGCATTTCTCCGTGGAGCTGCCCCTAATATTGATGGAGTGGGTTGTCCGCCATATGAAGAACCACTAAGCATCGATAAACTCCGTGGGTCAGCATCCATTCTTCCTCCAAAAGGAGTAAGATCTTGAGTGGGATGACGACTAGCGGCACCCCTTGCTGCAAGATAATCAGGTTGTCTGCCAGAAATGTGTTGCCACTCAGTCTAATTAGAAATATATCACCATCTAGCATTGCTGTGGACAGACTCATTATTAAGATTCAGATGATTTTGTTACTGAGAAAGGAAGAATGACGTCCTCTGCTATTAGTTAATGGGGAAGGAAAACAAACTACTAGTGATAATAACTGATCATGAAATGAAAATCAGGTTCCACTCACAAATGTAGCACAAAATCAGCAGATAAAAGTACCTTGCACTCCCATCGAGAGAAGCAGACTGCAGTGATTGAGATTTGAGCAATTGTTCTTGCCGAAGCAGCACCGCCTTATCAATGCGATCATAAATCTCGGACTGTTGAAAATTTGATGTGGAAACAATAAAACTAAAAATCATGACTTATTCAAAGAGGTACAAAGAAAATAACAAATTTTCTAAATTAAAAGATGAAAATGAAAAACCTGATGTTGAGGACCAAAACCAATAGAATCGGCATATCGACTAGTTGGTTCACCTTGCAACTCCATCCCCATATAAGTACTATGACGTTCACCATATTGCCTTCTGTCTATCGCTGGATACTCAGGGGCCTTTTCACCATACAATTGATCACCTTTATGACCATACCTATGACTTGAAGAAGTGATATAGTCACCAGATGAGAACTTTGGCGAATCTGTTTTAGAAGAGGCATAGCCACCACGACCTTCCAAAACCGATGGTCCAGAAGCTTTAGTACTCATTGAAGGAACCTATGCACAAAACTCCAAATCAGGCACCAGATGGTTCAACAAACACTTCGCCACAAATCAAATCTAAGCTTGGTTGGGAGAACTACCACATGACTCAAACAGTAATTTCCATGAAACCAGCCGTTCAAATACCACCAAAATACATTTAAATGAAAAAAAAAAAAAGGGCAGAAAATTTAAGATTTCTAAGCTTGGTTGGGAGAACTACCACATGACTCAAACAGTAATTTCCATGAAACCAGCCGTTCGAATACCACCAAAATACATTTAAGTGAAAAAAAAAAAAGGCAGAAAATTTAAGATTTTGAGGGACCGGGGTACACATTTAAGACATATAAGGCCTACCCAAAAACTGGAACGGACATTTAACGCATTTAAGGCTTACAAAAACTAGGAAAGCAGTAGGCATGCAAATTACAGTACCCAAGTCACTTTCCTATGGTCTACTGTTATTCCACTCCACTTGTAAGTGGGAAGTCTTAGGTTCGACTCCCGTCGATGGCAAGTTCGATACCTAATTATTACAGCAGGCCTATTGTGTGGCTTAACCCAAATCCCCTACCCCTTAGTGTAAAAATATCGTTTTATTAAAAAAACCAGGTTCAAAAACTGGATGTGTTGTAAGTATTAAATTTCAAATTTATGAAAATAATAAAACAAATTTTGTTTTATGCTTTCCTAAAGTTGAATCAGAATAAAAGGAAAGAAGAAAGGGAACAGAAAGGAAAACTATCGTGGAGATAACTGTGGAGTACAAAGGTTATACGAAGAACGGGAACAGAAAGGAAAACTATCGTGGAGTACAAAGGTTATATGACAGGTCATAATGTTACGAACTCCTAGGTAGCCTATGCTTCTTTGCAACATGTATCAGCGTAAAAATACAGCTCACATTTCCAAATACACAAACACGAGTTATAGAAGAAATCCACTAACCTGAGTTGCGGTGCTCAAAGCAGTTGAACCATAGAGGGAGCTATACTGTCCCCCATAATGAGCTGCAGCTGAAGGGAGAGGTCTATAGGCATCAACTTCCTCCGAACCACCTAACATTGATGTATGCCGCGAAACCAATGGAATTTGCGAACTCCCGTCAGTCGCTCCAACTGGATTTCCAGAATAAGCAGCTCCCAGCTACAAATATCACAATAAATAAGAATAAGAACAAAAAAGCCCCCGCTTTCCGCACTCTTACAAAAAATATCCCTTTTCACTCCATAAAATTTAAAAACACCCGAATGTAGTCAATTGGACGACGAACAAAACAACTTAACGGAAATTCTTAAAACAACAAAGCGAAACGAAAATTTCCTATAAGGGAAAACAAAATATCACAATTTAAAACACACCCACTAAGAATAAATACAAAACTTCTGGAAAAAAAATTCTATCCCATGAAATAAATGAAAATTATATAACAATTGAAGTGCGTAGGCTTACATTTTGGCCATACGCAGACTGACCACCATATGACTGTTGACCGTACGCATTATTCCCTCTGGAATACATGACGTCTCGAGTGCAACCCTAATTCAAAATAATTGAACAAATTAATCAATTGCAAGAAAAATACGCCAATTCGAATTCTGTACAGAAAATTCTGGCGAATAAGAGTGTTGAATTTTCAAAATTAAAAGTATAAACAGATGAAACAAACCCTTGGGGCGACGATTATTGAGGGGCTGACGAACGATTGAAGCTTTCTGTGATGGAGCAAACGAAACCGCTAAATCTCTGATTATTCTGAAGACTGGAAGACGAGACTTTGTTATTTCGTTTATCCGGGGTTAGGGTTCGCGGTTTTGACATTTGACCATACTTGGATTGGGCCTTGGTGGGTCGGATTGTAATAATGGACGGACCCGGATAAACTTGCCTTAGAGGCCTAAATGGGCCCGGTATTTCTTTAATCATAGTTTGAAATTTATTTTAATTTGGAAAAAATTGCACCTACGGAAAGTAATTTTTACACATTCTTATTAATCCCGACTATTGATTATATATCGATTATTTAATTCGATGACCATAAATAAAGATGAAAGTGTGAAAAACTAAAAAGTGCATAATATCGCTTTCCGTGGTAGTTGAATGGGATGTGCTATCCACATTACATTTTACTTCACATACACTTCTTAATAATTTCAGTCTGTTGATCTTCTTCAATTCATCTAATCCGACGGCTGAAAATTAAAAAGGTGTATGAGAAGTAAATGGGATGTATGGATATCACACCCCTAGTTGAATTTGTTCAGGTTTTCAAATTATCAACTGAACCAAAAAAAAAAAAAAAAAAAAAAATCCTACTTCTAAATACCGAAACTTTATGCAGCGTTACAAGTAGGTCCTTTCCTAAGCATAAAGTTTGGGCGTTTGGCCAAACACCCAAATTTGAATGCCCGCCTGGCTAATCTACGTATTTTGAAAATGAATCCGACACTGATGAAAGAAGAGATTATTCATGTGTTTATAAGTAATTGGACGCTCTTTGTATTGTCAATTGGTTGTACAGTGAACTTAACTTTTTCAATGCATACTTACACAATCGCTTTGGTTCCTAAGGCATCCAGTTCAGTAGCAGGTGATGACAACTCCGTATATGGAGCACAACTTGAAGCTTATAGTAGTCTCAATTTCAATCATATGCCCCTTATTAGTCAATCTCATTGGCCTACTTCAAAAAAATTCAAAAACTTCGAACAACTCGAATCTCTCTCTTTTGAAAAGTCCGAATCTCTCAATATGTGGGTTTTGACATAGAGATTCGGAGTGGATCTCATTCCTCGATAAAAGCTTTGGAATTGCTTTCCCATCCACAGAAATTACATTAAATAAATGTCAGCGATAACCAAATTCAATTACAAACTATGTTTGGATGAGTAGAATAAACTTAGAATTTGGGTAAAAACCAGAATTTATATATTGACATGCACCAATTTCCATGTTTGAATTCATAAATATAGAAATTTGGAATTTCCGCATGGAAAAAAACTTGGAATTTGGAACCCCCAATTCCCTAGTTTAAATTCCACGTAGATAAGTGTAATTTTCCAATTTCTGTGATCGTGATATTAAAAAAAAGCAAATTCTGTATTCAATTCTATTATTCTTTTAGGTTAACCAAACAAAAAAATTCACAAATTCTAAAAAATAAGATTCCGTCATTTCAATTTCCATCATTTTAAAATTATTTAATAATTTTAGATTTCTTTGTCCAAACATAGTGCAAGAGATAAGTTTTTTTCTTCTTCTCGTCTTTGAGCATCAATCGTTGCTTGAACAATTGCATGAAACCCGGGATGCAGCGCATTGCCGAAGAAAGCTTTGCAGAGTCAGAAGCAACAAAAGAAAACTAATGCTCACATGACTTCAAAGTTTAAAATCCATCAAAATAACCTCCAACAGCAGCAAGAAATCCAGAAGTTGCCTTCCAAGAGAGGGAAAACCCGAGGCGGGTTGCAAGTAAACAGCTAGCAACCCAGCAAACCACACAAAGCAGAGCAGCCATGGAGCCAGCTTTTGCATCCAAACCGGCGTGAAACGCCGAATAGATTAAAAGCCAACAAGACGCCAATGTTGAAGTTCATAGCAACATGGTTCCCAAACACTGAAAACCCGAAATGCAGCAGCTTTCGCAGTCAGTAACATTTTTTTGTACGACAAAGAACTCTACTGCATAATGCACCTACAACAAGGCCACTATTTCTCTTCCCAAACAACATTGGAGGGAAAGTATAAACATCGTTCTAATGTAAAACGAAACTAACTTCCAATTAACTAGGACAAGCGAACGTTCTTATACGAACATAACCTAGCAAGAAAGATTAGAAAAATCCCATTCATTTTAAGGAGAAACAAAAGACACCACTGGGAAAAATTATATTATTAATCAAAGGGAAAAACATATCTCCGAGCTCTAACGCAGAATGGAGGAAGATTTATAAAGCATCAGTTGAAGTCCTTCAATCTTTTCTTAAGCACATCCATTGATTTCTTACGAGCACTTTGCCTATTATTCCTGTTTGAAAGGCTCCCGAAAATACCATCAGCAGAATCCTTCAATTTCTCACAGATACTAGCCACCTTTTTGTAATCCAAAGCATTGTAGTTCTTCTCCCTTATCACAGGATTCATGAAGTTCTCTGGCTGACTGCTCGACAAAAGGTTTATCAGTTGCCGTGCTTCTATCAAGCAACCTTTAAAACTACCTTCTTTGTAAATTTCGCTCAAGCCGGTACTCTGAAACCTCTCGTCTGCAAAATTCTCCAACGTCTTCAAATCATTGTTGATACCCATAACTGCATTAGCAGTGAACCTCTTGACGCTATCACTTAGAAGAGTCGACACTATAGTGTTAGAAATGTGATCGAAAGCCCCACTCCCAACCTTGTACAAAGCATCCAAAGGTAAAATTTGTTGTGCTGTCGACATAAGAGTATCGAGGTAAAGAACAACTTCATTCATATACTCATTTCCATTCTGCGGCATTTCCTCCATAGTCCAAGTGATATTCTCTGTAAGTGACATGAACTCATCCAACTTAGTGTTTACCAAATTCAGCAAAGCAAGATAAGCTTCATCCCTTGAACTCTTTAGAACCACCTTAGCAGTTAAACTAGCTTGAGGCCTCTCAACTGAACGGATTGGGATCCCACAAAGTTGGGCTGCATGACGAAGAAAATAGTCACAAGCTCTTTCAACTACAGAAATGTTTGCAGCAATCTGCATGGCTTGAGAGACACCAATGTTACCGCTATGAATTGTATTAAGTATCACCTCATTTAACACGTCTATCAAGAGTTTGTCCAAATACTTCCTCACAACATCATAATAACTAGTATGTGCCCCATGAGACAAGTAATCAACAGACCCTTTAATGAATGATCTGACAATTCGGCAGGTATCAGGTACTGCAGAGGAGAATGGTGCAATGTACGGAAAAGCCGGTATTATATCTGATGTCTGGAGATTGAATGACAGGACATTACTTTCATAGTCGGTGTCCTTTTTCAAGGACATCTGTTCATATGTATCATTGGCAATAACATTTGCAATTTGTTGACGACACTCTTCTAAAAGAAGCTCGTGGTATTTCTCTCGGCTCTTGTCAAGCGTTTCAAGAAGTGGTCCCACTTCATACCCATATTGTCTGAGAGTAGAGCCAAGAAGAGTCACATAATCCTTCACCAGGAGAAGGTGGGTTGCAGAATTCATATGGGAGAATTGCTCCTCTAACAGAGATTTCATTTTCGCTATAGCTGTGTCCCACATTGTTTCAACTCGCTCAGCTAACAGTAGGCCCCCAGCAGTCCTCAATACCCGATCCTCCACTATGAAGTATCCAGCAATTTGAGCCAAAAATGTTTGGTAGGATTCAACAAAAGGCTGTGCTGAGGAGATCTGCAAGTCTGAATTGAGCTGCAACAATCGATTTCTATAGTAATATTCCCAAAACTGCTCTTGGATTCCTAGGCAACTTTGGATGTGATATGCCCTGTATAGAGGAGTCAAGTCAACCTTCAAAACAGATTCTTCATCAATCTCTTCGACATCTAAAGTATATGTGAAATCTCCCAAACCCGAAATATTCTGCTCCTCAGCTTTCCTTTGGCGTTCGAGCGTTTCCTCATCCCTCTGACGGACTGATGCAGCATGGCCTATTGCTGTTTGTCCAATATCCTTTGCAGAACTCCTTATGTGAACCAGCCATTCATTAAATTGACTGGTTACTTTCTTCTCAATGTGCAATTTAATGATCGGAATTCTCTTCTCTATAACCATTCTCAGTGTCCTGACCGGAACTTTCTGCAAGTAATTTTTCTCAATTAAATCCAACGTTTTCAACGCTGGGTAAAACTGACCTTCAGATATGTGTTTATTAAACTTGACACAGAGCTCCAACACCTGTACGCAGTTCTTAGACATTTTGATAGCTTCAGTCACATTCTTTTTTATTGAATAGGATTCAAGAAGCTCCTCGAGTTTAATCAACAAAGCACTCCCAACCTCTTGCAACTTGAAATTATCACTAGAGAGCTCGCTTTTCAGCTCCTCGGCGTCCACCAACACACCACGAAGTTCGTCAACTGCAAGAATGAACTCCTCGTAATGAGTCTTGCAGAGCTCCTCAATTTCGACTTCCTTCTTTTTCACAACATGCTTGAGCTGGTGAAGGAGTGATTCCGGCCTCCCCATCTCAAATGCGTGCCGGACAATAGGACCGAGGTCATCCCCATTCCCAATCAATGTAGCAAGAACCAAGTCCTCACCAGTATCCCCATTCTCTGTAGGAATTCTTCTCCTCGCTTTTGACTCCATTACTCTGAAGAAAAAAAAAAAAAAGCATAAGACAAAACAAAACGAAACACTTCGAAATCAAATTACACACGATGAGAATAAAATTAAGTAGAAAATTAAGATGAACAAAAAACACAAGCAAAGCTACAACCTAAGTTAACCCTAATTAAGTTACCCAATTACTAAATCAGAAAAATAATCAGCAAAACAGGGGGATTTCGGCATTCTAAAAAGGGGGGCTAAATCCACATGAGAACAACAACAACAAAATCAATAAAAATGGAAACTTTTTCTTAATATGTTACAAGAACACTCTATATCACCCTAATTATCGACATTAATCACGCAATCACAGCCTAAAAAAGGTGAAAAATCGAAACATCAGTAAGAAAAACCAAGATAAAAACAACCCAGTAAAGGAAAGAAAAAAAAAAAAGAATTCAATCAATCAATTCAAAAAATACAAGAAAAAAACGTAGAACTAAAAACCCAGATGTACTTTCGACAAAATGTGAAAGCTTTGATTGTTAAAAGCGATAACTTACAGAGACAATCTGTTTATTTTCTTCTTCTCCTTCTTCTTCCTCCAAATCTAACAACAAAAATGCGATGAATCCAAATAATTATTCGGAAAAAGGAAAAGCGAAGGGCTTGCTTTTCCTGTTTATTCTGTTGTTTTAGTTTCTGTATTTTTGCTTTTCTGCGTGCAATTTTTTGAGCTGGGAATTTGCCATTCCGCAACAAAGTTTTTAACTTTTTTCATCTTTTCACGATGCTACCTATGTGTGTGAGATGGACTCCGGTGTCTTTGGTCCATGGAACTTTTCGTGCACTCGGCATCTTACTGGCGGGTGAAAGAGAAGGCGGGCCATTCATTTCTGGGTCCCATTTGTACCATCTCAGTTCTCGACCGGGTTCAAATGTTTATTTTATAGTTGGACTAAAGTGAAAAATTGGAAAATTTCAAGGACTAGAATGTCAGTTGACACTTTCTAGGCAACTACTGCATTTCTCTCGTTGCAACATTTCCATGTTTCATTTTTCTATCTTTACACATAAAAAAAAAAAAATTGTTATTGACATTCTAAATTTTTTATATTTAGAAAGAAAAATGTATTTATAAAGAATGTATAATGAAATTTTTGGAACGCTAATAACTACTTCCAAAAAAATTTATGTAAATAAATAAAAAAAATCATATAATAGATATACATAGACATGTCCATAATAAGAAGAATAAAAATGTGCAAAAATAAGTTTTCTTTAGGCTTGTAGCTAAAATAGTTTATAAGATTGGCATAACTCCTCATTTTAGTCTTGAGATTGAAAATCGATGGAAGTGGTCCTCAAGTTTGTATGCCGTAAATCATTTTGATCCGTTTGTAAAAAATCTCTGTTAAATTAAGAGTATTTTTGTCTTATAAACCCTCCACTTGATTTTTCATTTAACGGAAAATTTTCACATAAGATGGACAATTTCATAAACCACTCTATCGATTTTCAATGTCAATAATCAATCTTAGTAACCATTTTAACTCACTCAAGTAGTTAAAATGCATTCACTATATATATATATATATTTTTTTTTTTAATTAGAAAACCTCGAAAAAACATTTACTACATGCATGCACTTGAAGTTCTATAGTCGAACTCTTCTTTTTTCAATATTGTTTTTTTTGTATATAGTCATTTATTACCTAATTGACAGTATCAATGTGATTAATACTACTGGTTCGAATACTTCAAAATAACCTTTTTAATTTAGAGCAAACGCGAGCCAACCTTAACTGTTATCTAAGTCGAATGACTACTCTTGGAAGTGTTACAAAATGCTTAACATAATCTTGATTTTTGGATAACCTATCTCCCATAACTTCTGGAGCTTAACATAATCTTAATTATTGGATAGCCATTCTCTAAGAAAACTAATCAAAAGACCAACTATACAAATGAATACATATTTTATTCCAGTTTCATTTGTATATGCAATGCGCATGCCATACTTACCTCATCAACCCCAAGATTCTAAGACCCACACCACAAGCGTTTAATATATGTTATATTATATGCAACCTGCCATAATTTAATTTATTTAAAGTTATTTACAAAGTAGCTTTTATTTTAGGGAATTGTTATTAGCACTCTACAAATTTTATTTGGCACTTCAAACTTTCTATAATTAGAAAGAAAAATACACTTGTGAGGAGTGTAGAATGAGATTTTTGGAGTGCTAATAACAATTCCCTTATTTTATTGGTATTTATATTTTCAATGTAAAGATGTTTCGAGATTAAATTCTTCATCTCCTCTTCACTAATAATTATTAGATTGCCAAAAACTCAATATATACGACGTTATGTATTAGAGCAACTTCACCGTTGATTATTGTCTTGGAGATAGGTAACTCAATCCACTCCTCTCCCTCCTCAAAACACTCCAATCCACTCGGGCAATTGGGTTTAAGGTGAGCCTGATAAAGAAGTCAGGCAAAAATCACCTAGCTCAGCACCCTGCCTATATGACGCAAAGCTGACGTCATCAGGATGTCAGCTACAATTTAAATTATTAAAAAATTAAAAAAAAACTAATTAAAATATAAAAAACTATAATTCCTTTCCATAAACACCTAACCATGTTCTTCCACTTTACACTATATTTCAATATTTTCAAATACTTTCAACTAATATTTTATTATTATTCAAAATTAAAAATAAAGTTATCTTTTATTATTTAAAACATAATAATACTAATATTTTAATACGAATTGCCTGGATATTCAGTTAAGGAGTGGAGATTTGCTTGGGTAATTACCATTCAGTGCAGACATTTACTGTTCATTTAAAGATATTGAGTTACCTATTGTCAGGGTACTTTACTACACTGGAAGTGCTCTTAAGTTAAGGACAATATCGATTTTGGATCCTTAACCCGTCATTTTCACAATAATATCTTAATTGCTAAAGTTTAAACATGCACCCAACCCTATGTGTTGATCTTCCATCGAGTATTTACACCCATCCTTTGTTTTCTCGATTTATGAAACCCCTGTTTGGGTTTTAACAAAACAGGATTTGGCTCTAATATTATCAAAACAAAAAAATATACAAAGAGGATTATGATGCCAACTAATCATGATTAGGATTAACAAGTTCTCATAATAACTATTGATCCTAATTATAAAAACACTAATATATTATATATATCAAACGTCAATGAAGAGAAGCCACCTACCACTCCCGTTCATGCTAATGGGAACGGGCCCGAGCAGAGTACTAAGTAGGCAGCCGAAATATAGTGTCAGTTTATCTCGTTGAAATGGGAAAAGGATGATTCTTTTTTTGGGATTCGGGGTATTTCGTTATTATGACCGTTCATTATATATTATGTGATCAATTTTTGTTAGGTATTATTTATATTTAATTTTTAATACCTAACAAAAATTGACTGCATAATATATGATGAACAGAGAGATCACGGACGGATCATTTTCCGTTGAAATGCTCATTAACATTTTTTATTTTGTTTTTTAAATTGAAGGAGAGAGAAACAGAGTGAGGGGAGATAAATTCTTTTTCTTTTTAATATTAGAGGCTTGTAAGTGAAATTTCGAAAAAATAATAAAATTTTGGTTTGTAGAAAAGTATACTACTGTTCATATTTTTTTATGTATGTTTAGATTACTTTAGTTGGCAATCAGATTCTATTAATATATAGCTTAGATAATATTATAAAAAAAAAAAAAACGCTGCACACGTGACATTTAAAAAATAATAATCCAATCAAACGGCTAACGTCCATCCACTGCAGTCTTCAATATGGGCCCCACCGATGACATGGCAAGATAAGCACCACAAGTAAACCCGCCCACAATTTTTATCGTTGTGCTTATCCATCCGGACCCATCTTGGAAAGGACACGCGTCAGCTCCAGTAAATGGAAAGGCTATCTACCTCAGCCTACCTTATAGACTAGTCATTATTCTACGCTCCCGTAGTCCCTCGAGTAGGAATAACCTCCCTACTCGCTCTACACCTAATTTTCCACATTTTTGGGATTTACTTGAAGCTGAATATGTTGAATAGAATAAAAATTAAATTTGATTGTTTTGTATTCGAAGTGCAGTCAATTACGTATGTATTAAGAGAAAAATATTGTTTTAAACACGTGTTTATTGTTAGTAATTTTGACTGGTAGTTCGTATACACCAAAAAGTTACTGTTATAATATTTGTTTAAACATTGATGAATAATTGTATAAAATATGTTAATTGCTATACATGTCAATAATGTATTATTTATTTTTTTTATTTTATTATGTAAATTTGACTTGGTATTATAGACATATGTTATTGCATGTCAATTCAAATAGTACCCTTTAAATAGTTACTAAATTATATCAAATATTAAGTTACTATCCACGTACGTTAACGTATAGTTACAAGAGTTTTATTTTTCTTGACTTATTATTTAAGAAATATTCGATGATTTCATGTGTACAAATTTGTATAATTCAAAGATTTTAATTTCATTTTATATAGGCTCTAATTACGTATTTGTTTAATTATTTATTAAAATAGTCTTCAAATTAATATGGAAAGACCAATTCAAATTTGATTTTACATATGAATAATACATTATGAACACATGTACATTGGATTCTTTATGAAAAGAGTAATGCTCGGAATATCTCATTTTCAAAGTCATATTAGTGTATCATCTCATTTATCAAGTGGTGCATACAACCGACATTCAATCAAATAGATTATTAATTGACATAACATATACACATCACTTGCCACAACATATGATACAAAAATGTGGTATTTTCTAACATTTCCTACCTGTATATTGTTTTATTAGATTTAAGTTGAAAGTAGACTAGTCAAAATACTAAAAATTTTCTCTTGTAAAATTTCACACCATTTATTAAGAGTAAGCAATTTGTTTGATTTGGGTTTTTTTTTTTTTTTTTTTATTGGTCAAACGATCGATTTGTTGGATTAGATGTTAGAGTAGGAATCTGACAGAGTTCGAACCCACTGTGGTGTAAGAACACCCCTTTTTGGGTTTGTTGTATATAGTGTGAAAAAGTGGACAATTACAAAGGATATTCCCAATGAATGATGGTATCCGGATAAAGTTTGTGACAAGTGCAAGGAACCTTGGACAAAAGCCGAATTATTGGAAAATATCAAAAGCGAGTTTGGTTACTTGCGCGAGTACGCTTTCCACTTCCCATCATAGGAATCAAAGTCAAGCGATTAACCAATCAAAAACGCGTGACGCACACAAAACGACAAAACAAATCAACCATAAAAGGAGCAGCCCTCCCGTTCAAACATTTCAAATGCCCTCACTTCCCTTCTACTTCTGCAACCCTAGAACCTAATATTTGTCCTGTTTATTTATTTATTTAATTTTATTTTTTTTCTGAGGGAGCTCTGAAAATGGAGGCCAAACAAAGCTCTCAGCTTCCTCCTGGTTTTAGGTTCCACCCAACTGATGAGGAACTCATCATGTTTTACCTCAAATACCAAGCCACCTCACGGCCCTGCCCTGCGTCCATCATCCCAGAAGTTGATATTTACAAGTTTGATCCGTGGGAATTGCCTGGTTAGTATCGTAAATTCGTAATTAAGACGTCCAAAGCCAAGAAGGACATACATGCACGCTCGGGATGTCACAATGATAGTATCCGATCCCAATCACGCTCCCCACCATGCGAGAAAGTCGTGATTGGCTTGAGATACTGCTATAGTGGCAACCCGTGCGCTAAGCAAGGTCCTCTCGGCAAAAGTAGGCTTTCAAAGAAGTGTTGCCTACCGTAATTTTGTATTGGTTACAAATTGGGATTGTTTATGATGTGCAGAGAAGGCAGAGTTTGGAGAAAACGAATGGTACTTCTTTACCCCTAGGGACAGGAAGTACCCGAACGGGATACGCCCGAATCGGGCAACCGTGTCGGGTTACTGGAAAGCCACGGGAACAGACAAGGCGATTTACAGCGAGTCCAAGTACGTGGGGGTGAAGAAAGCCCTTGTGTTTTACCAGGGCAGACCGCCGAAGGGGGTCAAATCCGATTGGATTATGCACGAATATCGCTTAGGCGACACTCGAAACCAACGGGCCAACAAGCAACTCGGGTCCATGAGGGTAAGCCACTTTGCCCATTCGTGACATTACATTTCTTTCAGGCATTTTATCAAACAGTTGGCTGCAATCTGACAATTGCTATGTATTTGTTGGATTTTAGCTGGATGATTGGGTCCTCTGCAGGATCTACAAAAAGCGGCAACTGGGCAAAGCTTATTTGGATCAAAAAGTGGAAGAAGATGAAAAAACTGAGATGACAACACCAGAAACAGCGAAAGTCAATGAGGAACAAACGATGTTGAAATTTCCACGGACTTGTTCGATAACTAGTTTACTGGACATGGACTACATGGGCCCGATGTCTCAACTTTTGAGTGACAATAATTCTGGATACGATTTCCAGAGCAGCTTGGCCGGCGCAGGAGCTGGCCACGCGCAAATGTTTCAGTTCGGTGAAATGCCTAATTACCAAACCACGACGGACTCCGGGAAATTCCAGGCGATGGCTCAGACTAGCGTTTTGAACCACCAACCGTGGTTTGGACCGTAATTAACAATTGAATTTGGGGTGTTTTAGATAGGAAATTAAGGTGGTAAAAAGGATGTTGTAAATTGGTGGGTTGTGGGAGGGGTTGAATATTTGAAACAAATTATGAAGTGGATTTGAGTTGTTTAATTTGAAATTTTACAAAGAAGATGATTTGGGTAATTTTTATATTTACCCGTATTCTAAAAGTAGCACCATTTATTTACATCTTAAGTAATAAGTATAAATAAGATATAAATTCAAAGCTGTTAAAGACGATTGTTTTTAGAAATGATATTTAGTCACATAAAACTAATTACATTGTAATCGTTATACATGATTCTTGTCATACATTTGTACGACGCATCTCGATTACAAAGTGTGTCATCGATATTATCCACATTTTGTATAAAATTATCTTCATGACTAAAAGACAATGAAAACATCCAATTATTTTAGGTACAAAATCCAGTTATATCATGTTGTCAATATTACCAAGGGGTGTGCTATCCCCTTGATAATTTCTATCCGTTGATATTCTTCAATTCATCTGATCCGACAGCCGAAAATTAAAAAGGCGTGTGAGAAGTAAAATATGGTGTGTGGATATCACCCCCTATTACCAATCGATCCATAATCCAATTTTATATTCAAGGGCTGATGTTTAATTTTGATTGCGGTATTTGTTTAAAACTAGAGGAATGTTTTTTTTTTTTTTCAAGTATTTTTTTATTTATATTTGAGATAAAACTAATTACATTGTCGTTAGTAATCGTTATACATGATTCTTGTCATACATTTGTACGACGCATCTCAATTACAAAGTGTGTCATCGATATTATCCACATTTTGTCTAAAATTATCTTCATGACTAAAAGACAATGAAAACATCCAATTATTTTAGGTACAAAATCCAGTTATATCATGTTGTCAATATTACCAAGGGGTGTGCTATCCCCTTGATAATTTATATCCATTAATATTCTTCAATTCATTTGATCCGACGGCTAAAAATTAAAAAGGTGTGTGAAAAGTAAAATATGATGTGTGAATATCACCTCCTATTACCAATCGGTCCATAATCCAATTTTATATTCAATGACTGATGTTTAATTTTGATTGCCGTATTTGTTTAAAACTAGAGGAATGTTTCTTTTTTTGAAGTATTTTTTTATTTATATAATGACACATAACGTATAAGTTCATGTCCCGTACACTAAAAAATCTCACATGACAGTGGATAAGATTTGTCAAATAAACCGGGTAGAATTGTAACTAGAGGTGGCGCATATTATGAACTACGTTTGTCGCGCGTGCATGGGTTGAAAATGAAATGTTGATGGGGCTGCTGATGACGTTTCAGGTCCCTATTTTGGATATTGTCTTTGTGTTTGCGATGCTCGCCGCCTTTTTGTGGAGGAATCGATGATTCGGATATTTGAAACATTTAAGAGACAGATATTTGAGATATTTAAAACGTTAAAGAGAGAGATATTTGAGATATTTAAAACGTTCAAGAGAAAGATATTTGGGATGTTTAAAAATTTGGGATATTTAAAACGTTCAAGAGAGAGATATTTAAGATATTTGAAACGTTCAAGAGAAAGATATTTGGGATGTTCAAAAATTTGAGATATTTAAAACGTTAAGAGAGAGATATTTGAGATATTTGAAACGTTCAAGAGAGAGATATTTAGGATGTTTAAAAATTTAGTGCTCCAAATTTTTAAGTCTGTGATCCTAGAGTCTTGACTCTTTGTTATAAGAAAAATTTATTCATAAGAATCATAACTGAACGCCACTATAGCAATACACCAACCCAATCAAGCATGGTATCACGAGGTACATGTACCATGGGGTGTAGATTTTACATGAAACACTACTTGATCGGTTTGAAAAACCGTCACAATAATGTATAAGTTAATAGTAAATTTCTCCTATCTCATCTCAACCTCAAGTCATGAATTTTATCAAGTTTTAATAATAATCAAATTAAAAATTATGTTGGAAAGAATTAGGGTAAGAACGCAAAAGAGGTGAAACTCTTTCGTTTATCTTCATCAACATGAAAGCATGTAAAGATTGTTTGTTAACAAAGCCATAGCTAATTTCTCACTAATCCCCAAGTCCCAACCACTTAACTAGCTAATTAGCTAATTAATTAACCTTTTAACTACTTCATCTTTGCCATTACAAAATCAACATTGCCTCCTATGTGAGGCAGTTAATTAATAACTTCCTCCTTGTTCCCTTTATTTTTCATCCTCTGATCAAATGGAAGATCAAGAAAGTAACATTTTGTTAGCTTTTTCTTCCCAAGATGGTGTTTTCATGGTGGTCTGCATGGTTTTGTCATGGATAATCATCCACAGATGGAGCCAGAGGCACAAAAAGGGCCCCAAAACATGGCCTATCGTTGAGAGCGGCGATCGAACAGTGCACGAACTACGACAGGATGCATGATTGGCTCGTCAAGTACCTCTCGGAGTCAAACTCCGTCGTCGTCCCAATGCCATTCACAACTTACACTTACATTGCAGATCCTGCAAATGTCGGACATGTCCTCAAGACCAACTTTGCAAACTACCCAAAGGTGATTTTTTTTCTCCGGCGGTGTTACTAAGCGCGTTAATTTGGTGCTTGTTTTTGTTTAATTTTGCGTTGATCTTTGGCGTGTTTTGTTAATTGAAGGGTGAAGTGTACCGTTCGTACATGGAGGTCCTGCTCGGAGATGGGATCTTCAATGCGGACGGAAGCTTTGGAGGAAACAGAGAAAGACTGCGAGCTTTGAGTTTGCATCGAAGAATTTGAGGGAGTTCAGCACTGTGGTCTTCAGAGATTATAGCCTCAAGCTCCATTCGATTCTGAGCAACTACTCTCTCATGGGCCATATACATGGTAATGACTCATCCCCATGTAGCTGATAAGCTCTATTCCGAGATGAAAACTTTTGAAGAAGATCAAGCAAGAGAAGAGAAGGTTTCGCTGATCCCTTATGACACAGAGGACCTCGACTCATTCAATCAAAGCGTTGCACAATTTGCAGGACTTCTGAGTTACGACTCGCTGGGAAAACTGTATTATTTGCATGCCGTTATTACAGAGACGCTTCGTCTGTACCCTGCAGTCCCTCAGGTATGCATCGTACTGAATTGAAACGTTTATGTCGATGTTGTTGCTCTAACTCTAAGTAATCTATATGGCGGCAGGATCCTAGAGGCATCTTGGAGGATGATGTTCTACCAGATGGAACCAAAGTCAAAGCAGGAGGTATGGTGACTTATGTTCCCTACTCAACGGGAAGAATGGAGTACGATTGGGGACCTGATGCTGCCTCGTTTAAGCCTGAGAGATGGCTCGAGGAGGGTTTCTTCCAAAATGCATCGCCGTTCAAGTTCACCGCATTTCAGGTTAGATAACTGAGCAATCTTAACCGTATACATCCACAAAATTTCAAGGTCATTAACACAGAAGTTCGATTACCTCGGATTTACAGGCAGGACCAAGAATATGCCTAGGAAAGGACTCTGCTTACCTCCAAATGAAGATGGCACTGGCCATTCTGTGCAGATTTTACACATTCACTTTGGTCCCCGGGCATCCAGTTCAGTACCGGATGATGACAATTCTGTCAATGGCGCACGGCTTGAAGCTTACTGTAGCCAGGCGCTAATCATCTGTGTCAAAGATAATTAAAAGCAGATTAAGTGTCTTCTAATATATATCAAACCTTTTTAAACAGGCCAGAGCGAAAGGGGAGAACTTAGTTTTATTTGGATACACATAAATTTGCATGTCCTTCTCAAAAGTTCATGTGCTATATTCTCAAAAGCTCATGTGCTATATTTATTTCAAGGCTTCCAAGTCACATGTTTCCAATATACACCAGATAAAAGCTTTGGTATTACTTTTAAGCACACCCAGATATTACAGTAAAAGTAAATCCAGTTACAGATTAGGAGATCAGTTTCTTCTTCTCCTCTTGCCATTCACTGATTTCAGCATCAATCTTTGCTTGAACAATTGCTTGAAACCCGGGGTACGGTTCGTACCCGAAGAAGATCTGTAGAGCCTGAGGCAGCAAGAGAACACACAAATTATGATTGCACACACAAATTATGATTGCCAAATCAGGAAATTACCTCATAAGATAAAAATCCATCAAAAAATTACCTCTAACAGAACAAAGAAGGGAGCCATGATAAAGGCTTGTGCAAGATTGTCCAACAAAGCTGGTGCCCTTTTCTGCAGATTACATCACGTTTCAAGAGTATAAATACAACAAGAAAGATATGAAGTCACAAATATGATTAGGTAAAAAAAAAAGATTTAACACCTCATAGACTCCATGGCCGATAAATTGTCCAGTCCAACAGACTATCTGAGCCACCAGAACAACCTGAAAAAAAAAGTTTACTGAGGTCAAATTTACAGCTAAAACGTAAAGAAGCAATCAATTTACTGAATTTTAAACAAAAATCTTAAAAAAAATATATATATATATATATATCTATAATTTGACATAATAAACGAAACCCAGAACAAATTTCTTAATAAAAAGTTAAAAACTAAGAATAACTGCAGAAATTACTCAACTTTAAATAAAAAACTTCAAAAAAGTATCGAATTCCATAAAATAATCAAAACCCAGAATTTTTTCACAAAAATAAATAGCAACTCCAGACGTACCTTCCAAGAGATGGAAAATCCGAGTACGGTTCCAAGGAAACAGCTACCAACCCAGCAAATTACGCAGAGCAGAGCACCCAAGGAGCCTGCTTTTGCGTCCAAACAGATGTAAAACACCGAATAGATTATAGTCAACAGCAGGCCTATGTTGAAAGGCAGAGCGACGTCGTTCCCAAACACAGAAACCCCGAAACTGAGCAGCGAGGGCGTGAAGTAAAGGATGAGCAGAGCGGTGAAGAGGATAGGCCAGACGAAGAGCATATGAATCGCTATGTTGACCGGGTTGCTGTGGTAAGCTCCGTAGAAAGCAAAGTGCTTTTCGAGATCAAACAGTCCGGTCTTCCCCATTTGAGAATTTTCCGAGAAAATTAGGATCCTCTGTTGCGATTTTTCTCGAGAAAATTTTTATGGGTGAAGGGTGGTGGCGATTTATTTGGCTCCCTGAGAAGAAAAAGTAAGCTGCTTTTTTTGTACGCAACCGACCAACAACTGAAGGCTCACCGCCAATTTAATAAATTGGCTTCTGGTGCTTTGTTCACGAAGAAACCTTGAATTTGTCATACACTTGGTCGCTAGAGGGCTCCATTTTCCAGTCAAAACACACGGAAAAGCCAAAATAATTTCAAGGTTTTGGGGGTTTTTTGTTCACCGGGTGTGTTTGTTTGACCGGATTAGGAGGGACTAGACTAGACTAGACTAATTGCTAGTGTAGTCTCAGGTTTGGTTTGCACAAGGATTAGGTTTAATGAGATTACATCGGACATGCTTCGACTAAGTCCTTCGTTAGAAGGGCTTAGCGAGACCCACCAATCAGCAAGGGACTGCTAAGACCGTTCGCGTCCCTTCCTCCTCACGTCCTCGTCCAGCTGTCCTCCTTGCGTCTTTGTCCTGATTTGCTCGACTAACCTCGCCGGACCACCCTATCGACGGCGACAATCGTCAACGAGATGTACAAATTCTTGGGTCTGCGCTTCTTTGGGTTTAGTTTGAGCTACATAAAAGATGAGAACAATGACAATAGGCACCAGGCTGAGTCTGAGCTCTCCACCGCCGACGGCATGGCCATTCACGTCGACTAGAGGAGGGGATGGGGGTGGGTCATCGAATAAGAGAGGTTTGGAGGAGGAGACGATGGTGGGGTCGAAGGAACAGGGACGAATTTGGTTGACTGAGATCCGCAATTGAAAATGGAGGCTCGCGGCTGGAGGTTTAATTCGCAGATGGAGCCTCAATGATGCAGATAGAGGCCTAATTTGCTTACCCTTCATGGGAAATATATTGCCAATGCATGGCTTTTGAGAAATTGAGGCTGTAAATCTTTGGTTTTTAATAGAGAACATGAATTTTTGGGGTAGATTATGAGTTAATTTGCCAATTCTTCCTCTGGGTAATATGCAATTTAGAATTTGATTGTAGGTTAGTTGAAATTGACGTTGGTTGAAATTGATTGAAATTTTGGTAGAATGTGGGAACTGGAAATTTTAGTTGAAATTGAAGTTGGTAGAATTTGGGAATTGGAAATTTTGGTTGAAATTTTGATGTTGTTGAAATTGAAGTTGAAGCAAATAACATGGATATTTTTTTATATATCACTGGTTGTTTTTCCTTTTGTTTTTTTTGTAATTATTATGTTTCTTAGTCCGATACTGCATCAAACACTTTACTGAGTTAGTACAGCTTAGTTTAGTCTAAGCCAGTCCAGCTTAGTCCTTGAAGCTAGTCTAGTCCGAAATAGTCCGGTGCAACAAACGTACCCCAAAAGTATACAGAGAATTGGGCTTTTTGCAACATGTTCGGGCTTTGATATTGTCAGCTTAAATTGACCCAACAGTTACATCGATGCTGCTTTGTGTTACGGATTATGCCGTCTACTCGTAGTATAATAGTAATGTGAATAAATAACTCAACATAGTAGTGTGACTATTACACTTGGATGTTTTGAAATTTGATTTTAGCTCTCATTTTCTATCAATACACCTCCCGGTGAGTTTAGAGATTGAATGGATCAAAAGAGAATCAAGAAATAAAAAAAAGAAGAGAATGCATAATTAAAAAACAAGAGTGTAAAAGTCACTACCTAAACTTTTCTTCTAATTTTGGCCGATTACTATAAAGTTCTAAAATATGACTGATCGTGTCACCTCAATACTTCAACCAACACACAAATACATCTCACCATCCTTTGCATTACGGCCCGACCCCTTCCAAATTTTTGGTCGCGTGTTTTAACCAAACAACCACGTGGTCCGACCACCGGACCAAAGAATTTCTCCTCTTTCACTAATAAAACAGAGAAGAGATGAGTGTGGTCGTAGAGAATGAGAGAGTGAAAATCACCATACAAAGATTTCTCCAAACCTTTTTTTATTAAATAAATTTGGCAAGATAATAAAGGCCACGTGGCGGCAAGCAGGTAAGGTCCATGTCGGATTGACGGGCAACACGGTCAGCCACAAAAATCTGCCCAAGGAATCCACAATGACAACAATCCTCATCAGCCCATCACCACCATACACATTCATGAAAAATTCGAACTTGTTCATATTTTCCCCAAAGCCATGACCAGCTTCACTAACACCACCACAACCTTCCTCCAATCCCACATCGTCGCCAAACCCCAAAACTTCCGTCACAAAATCTCACTCCCGGTAATCAGAGCCTCATTTCCAGGAGAAGACGATCAAGAAAATAACGCCGCGAGTCGAAGAAAAATCGTGACAACATTCTTGGCCACTACATTGGCACTTGGGGGACATCAACACGGGGTTGCCACCCCGCTCGGGCTAGCTGAAAATTGGGGTGTTCGTTCGTTTATAAGGGAACGTTTTTTCGAGCCCGGACTTTCGCCCGAAGATGCCGTCGCTAGGATAAGGCAAACAGCTGAAGGGCTACATAGCATGAGGGACATGTTGGAGGCCATGGCATGGAGGTACGTCATATTTTACATCCGTCTGAAGTCGGCCTATCTATCCCAAGATTTGAAAAATGCCGTGACTTTGGTGCCAGAAGGTCGCCGGAACGAGTATGCTAAGACGGCCAATGAATTGGTGGATAACATGGCAGAGGTATGTTTCTCCTCAAGTAATGTTACGCATATATAGTACAAATTATCATGCATTAATTGGCGTTCAATTTGATGTGTATTACAATTTACTTATGTTTTTGTCGCACTTGCAGCTTGACTATTATGTTCGAACGCCAAAAGTGTATGAATCGTACTTATACTATGAGAAGACATTGAAATCGTTGGATGATTTGGTTGCGCTGTTGGCCTAGTTTTAAGATGGTTGGACTGTTTTTGTTTGAAATTGGATTCAACCAAATATGTTTGGGTATATACAGAACTAGAAGTGTATTGTGAACTAAGAATTATTGCAATTTTTGTAGATTTGTTATTAGATTTGTAAAACGTTGCACTTTGCCATGAGGCAAATGCAACATATTGCAAATCATTCGTATACACACTTCAACTTTAATATGGGCGCGAAGCATAGTAACGGGAAAGAACATGACACCACTTCGACCATCATTCCTCATCATCCACCATCATGACTTAACCCAACTATCAATCTCTCAAAAGAACTTAGTCAAACGTATCTTTCAGATGATCGTCGAGGAACCAATGAGACCTTGATGCACTGTGTTGCGTTGGAGATTAATTCGGCTCAAGGCGAGTTGCGGAGTTATGACTCAATGGTGGCTTGGTACATGATCTATCTCTTCTGGCTCCAACCTCACTAAGAATGGTGAGCCTAAGAGTACCACAAGTAATTTCACTGGTCTTCTGTTTTAATTGTATATATACATATTCTCATCAAAGCATTCTTCTCTTCATCATGTTATTGAACTTTAAGAATTTCACTACGATCATGCCGAGTTTTAAATCGAATAAGAAGCGCAGAGCTGCAGTTAGCTTGATCAGTACTAGACTACTAGTACTAGTATTAGTACTGGGCATTGGCTAGTCTTCCGGAAGCCCTATTCTTTCCGATTCTGAATAAGTTATTCCCATGCTCCTGATCCTGAAAACTGACCTCCCAAGCAAGCACCAAAGAGCGCTATACAGCATTTCCGAAGGAAGAATCAACGACGATATTCAGTTCCATGTGCCTTTTAGGACTACGAGGTGTTATGGCTGTGGATATGTTTAGTTGGCCAAAGTAGATCATACAAAGGAAGGTCCGTTAATAGCACACAGGGACCTTTCAGAAGACCAAGTGATTCCATTCATCTCCCTCTCTTGAAGGCCTGGATAGACGATTGGGATTTGAAAGGCTGCAATGATCATAACGTCGGTAAGGTTTTCTTGTCCGCCGATCCCGTTCTGTTTCCAAATTCTATAATCTTGCAACGCAGCAGGTGGCGCAAGGTACTTCCCATGCTCTTGATCCCCAACCCCCACCACGACGACCACTGTGGACTTAGACTAATATTATACAGCACTTATGAAGGAAGAATCCACAACAATATTAAGTTACAAGTGCCCTTGACAAAGTGGTGTTGTGGCAGTGGCTCTAGCCACGGTTGGCAGCTAGCTACAATTGAAGATCAAACGGAAAGGTCTGCTTATAGCACTCGGGAACCCTTTCAACAAACATCGCCGCTCGTTCTTCTCCCTCCCATAATAGAAGTATCCCTGGACATAACACACCCTACCATGACCATCACACCCATAAGATTATCTTATCAGCTGATCCCTGAATGAATCCGGATAATTATGCGGTTGTAGCACTTTTCGCAGGTTGGCTTTCTTCAAAGCAGGTCAGAGGTTTTGGACTTACTTCAATCTATCACATAACATATTTGTTGACGTTATATTTTGTAAAAGCCAACTCTAAGCTACTAACTGGTTTAGAAGTGTTTGGTCACTGGATGTTGATAGCAGTAAATTGACCATTCACTGCCGCCTGAACTGAAGCTACTCACACCTGAAAACGACTTCCCAGAAAGTTGTCATTATGCATATCTTATGGAATCAGTTAAGGGTGACTGACCTATTGCACGTCCTAAGATTTTATGCGTGGGTAAAAGATGCCTCTATGTCGATGAGGTTGCAGTGCAAACTATGGGATTCGAGGTTTACAAGTGCGTGTTTGATGGTGAAGACGGATCTCTTGTGAACCGGATTTAGGTAAAAAGCGTGGGAGATGAACCATGTGATATGGCTATTTACAATTTAGAGGACGGAACCATCACACAACATTACTCTCTGAACACAAGCTCTCAAACAGCCTTGGTTGTGCCACATTTTGATGGACTATGTTTGCTTCGGATCAAAGGATGATCTGGTCGCACTATTGGCCTAGTAGTACGTGGGGTGACATAATTAACCAAATATGTTTGGTTGTGTATGATTGATTAATCTGCAATTTTAGGAGATCTGTTTGTGCTTAGATTCATTGCAGTGAGTGTTGGTTTTATTTAGTGCAAAAGAAAATTGTAATTAGATATTGCAAATATGGTTTACAGTTTAATTAAATTTACACAAGGTACGTAACACACTTGCAAATTCATATTTGTATTCCCACAAATAGATGGCATTCATCGCCAACAGTTGCTTGCAGCACATCAGCGTCGAGAAATTGCCACAGATGACATGATGATTAGCAGTAGAAGTACAGTTATGGCGATGAAGGAGCCAATGAGAGACCCGGAAATGCGCCCACAGAAGCTGTTGAACTGCTGACAGAATGCGAACCAGTTGGTGCCGGGGTTCCCGTAGTGCGCCAGGTACACTATGGCTGTAGCTGCTGAAGCTCCGGCAGTTACAAGCCCCATCATCACCTTCACAACATTTGTATTTACTTATTAACCAAAGTAGCATTTACCATTTGACAAAGGCTATACGTTTGAGTGAATAAAAAGCCAAGGTAAGCTTAAATATTAGTTAGAGAAAGTGATTTCCGCACATCTATTTTCAGTGAAAAAAAGAGAAAAGGTGAGTGCGGAAATAACTTTCTGTTAGTTATCAATGAATTCGACGTCTTTTACCGTGTCTGAGATGATCAAGATGATCCTACTGTTTACTGCTGCAGTCCAGATGATATGGACAATAGATACAGGAAGGGAAAGCACAAGGTAGACGCATACGATCGAATTGGTCATCACAAAGAACCTGTATGTGACATGAATCACAAAGTTTGAGCAATTCTCTTTGGAAAAAAAGAAAATAGTACCTTCAATTATTTTCGCAATAACAAAATATCCTTACGTTAACGTGGGAAGATCCTTGTACCGAGCCCTGAAGCGAACAAACCGTGTGGCGAAGGGAAGTGTTTCCCTGCTGGTTCCCATAGCTATGGCACTAGCCAATGTTCCGATCACTGCAACGACGCGCAGAGTGAAGTCTAGAACAGCGAGTACTCTGCTCGACTTGATTTTCGGGATCGGTTTCGAGGCTTCAGTAACCTTAACAACTGGTCCTCCTCCTGCCTTCATATTTTTTTCTCAGCTATATTCTTTGAAGCTGAGCTCTACAGTGGGTGGTTCTGCTCTGGAGAAACGGGGGAAGGCATGCTTATATATGCTAATGTGCATGTCGGAGTGCAACCTATGTTTGTCTAAGCATGCCATGTGTAAACCTCTGATAGGCTACAATGTATGTTATTTTATTTTTACCTGCTGCACTTGCTGTGTATATATTATTCTGAACCATGAGGATCATTTCTCCAACTCCAACAATGAACAGATAATACTATGAAATCTTGGGACATAGGTTTCTAGAGATTCTGGTGACATGTCCAGGTACTAGGAAAATGGCCAATGAGCTAAGATCATAAGTCATCTGGAAATGCTGTGGAGAATGTTGTCACTGTTCTAGTGGGTTTGGTGCTTAGGTTTCTAGACTTAGGTTCCATGCAAACATGTATTTTTCTTTTTCTTTTTGGTGACAAAGCGGTATTTTAAACTATTCTAACTTGTCAGGAGGGTGATTCCAACTTAGATGTAAGGGAACGGTCACATTGCCTTAATTAACTGGCCTAACTTGGATCTATCGTGTGAGAAACAAGTCTAGTCCTAGGTCCAAATCCACCAAACCGAAAATGCTCTAACAAATACAAAGCACGTCAGCTAGTTAGCTTATTTAATCAAAGTATGGTACTAATTAAATAATTACAACCCTGATCGCACGAGGATTAGCGAAACAGATCGAGAAAACTTACTTAAGCCATGGCATGTTGGATCAATCTTGGCCTCTTCCCTCGCCGTTTCGTTTGTCATCGTAGAGATCTAACATGCAAACATGAAATAGACATGTAGCCACAGACAACTTGCCGGTTATCTCTGCTCGAAACACACCTACCTCTTCCTAATTGCCACCAATCCACGCTTTTAGAGCTAACGATCGTAGCAAAACAAATCCTAACCTATGCTTTGGACTAATTTTCTTGCATCGTAATAAGTTATAATGATTTAGAGTGTTCGGATACCACCTATGCGTTTTGAATTTGAAACTCTCATATTCCTTAAATTTTTGTAATAGTTTCAAATCCTATCCTCCCTAGTAAAAAAATTTAAAAAAAAAAAAAAAGAAAAAAAGAAGAAGAGAAGTTATACCGGAGAAGTTGGTTGATGCCGGCAAGTCATCCTTGGCTGCAGCACGTATTATTATCTCATTTTTGCATGCAAGAACTTAGATGAATATTCAATACTTGCACTCTTATGTGGGGATGGTTGGAAGAAGGGGGGGAAGGAGCAAATGACAACGTCTGTTGTGCTTGCTAGCTCACATCATGAACTAGAAATTTGTTCACTTAATTATACACGTGTGCGTATTTATATGGGACAGATTTGTGGTATCATTTTTTTCACACAACTTTTAACACATATTTTTGTGGATCCTACTTCATAATGCATTTTAATGATCCGAACTATTTGATCCTTCCCTTGAAGATTATGTCTACCTAAACTCATCCAAATCTAAAACCACATGATCGTTAGATTAAGGGTTTAGAGTGTTTTTGTAGAACCGTATTCATCTATTTTTTTCACTGCAAATGAATGTCTTAATAGTTTTGATTTTGTCTAATTTTTTTGCAAATATGATATATGAATGATGTTCTAAAAGATAGACGGTTCAAATCGTTAAAATACATTACAAAATGAGCTCTACAAAAATGCATATCAAAAGTTGTGTAAAACAAATAGTATCGCGAATCTGACCCCTATATATGCATGTTGATGTCAAGTCAAATAATACAAAGAAATAATTACGATTCTCATTAAACAATATAATACTCTAAACTGCTCTAATTGATATTGCATTGTAAATTTGGAATATATCCACAACTAGGGATAGATTAAGGCCACGAGCTTTTTTTGTTAAAGCAATTCCTGTTGTTGTTGCCGGAATTGATCATTGCAATGGAATAAAAATCTTTTTGCACATGATGGGTATCTCTAGAATGATGAAAATAGTTATGGGCGTGACATGACAATTATAATCCCTTTTTCTTTTTCAACTTTACTTCTTTGATGGAGCAGAAATTAATACCACCAGGTACATCATCATCCAATTTCAACCCCTTTTTTCGACGTGGACTACAACACAACATGTTTTCTCTTATTTTGAAAGACGTTACAATAAGAGAATATATGTTGCACTATAAATGATCCATGTCATTGAGGAAGAATATACAACTATGAGATGTTTTCATATACTGTGTTTTACCATCTCTTTTGGGGGTGTTCGTGCAAATAATACCGAGATCACGATTAATTAAGATCTTCTCATGCTAATCGCCTAGTACATTGTCACACATGTCCACATAAATGTGCGAGAACATTTTCAACAACCTAGCGAAATGAGATTTTTTTGCTACATTAGTAAAAAAATGCAAAAAAAAATCGAGCTCCAAACTTCAACCTAAATTTGACTGATTATCTTAATTTTGTAAACAGTAATTAGCTAAATTTACCTAAGAGGAGAGAGAAAGTTAAATTTTTGCTAAACATAATTGCATTGCTTGTGGCCTTAAAATAATATTAAAATATTATATATGGGTTTGAGGCCGAGCTGTATGAAAATAAAGGCCCAAGAGATGTAAAACTGAACCCGGTCCAATTAAAAACAAAGGCCTCAATTCTCACAGCCCAAAAGTTCTCACTCTTACGCGCTCTGCGCGTAGCGTAATCTCTAGGCTTGCTTCTTCTTCTTCTTCTTCTTCTTCTTCAGATATCCTCTGCTTCTGCAATCGGATCCGATCTTTGATCAGGTAAGCTTCCAACCCCTTCACTTCTGCTATTTCCCAGTTCAGAAATCTCGATATTTACCAATCAAAGCTGTTAACTTTCTTCTGCAAATCAAGCAACTTAGCTGCCCAGTAGCAAACTCACTGATATCTCGAATCTGGGTTCTTCCAAAAGTCCATGATCCAATTGGTTTTTACTCTGATTGTTTATGATTACCCCCAGAAGGAACCGTATTTACAAGTTTTTCTAGTTGTTCCTAAATGAAATATTTTCATTTTTTTAGCTGTTTTTGTTGGTGCCTCTGTTCGTGCGGAAAGATTTGCTTTAAATTGTTTTGCTGCAAAGATTTGACTTTCTTCGTTACCATAGTTCTATGTCATCTTCAAGATGCTGCTTATCCGAGCTATTTCGGGTTAAGGTTGAATCGGGAAGTTGAACTTCAATCCCCTAGTAGCTGGAGTTTGATCTTCGATGTTGGATTGTGGACTAGGAGTTGGGAGGGCATGATGAAAGGCTGCATCTTCCGTGATGCGCCGGGCTCTGGGAGTGTAGTTTAATGGAATTAGTGCATTTACTTCAATGTGCTTTCATGGCATCAAACATTTATCAACATAGTCATAGTGATATTTCTTTGTAGGGGTGTATCGCTGGATGGTTTTACAGACATTTATATGCATGTCAATGATTTGATGATGGATAGAGTTGAACTAACGAATAGCCTGATCTTATTATAAGCAATTGTTGTACGAGATTTAAAAAAACGGAAGGAACCGGTTTGCTTATTTGGAACGCCCAACGAAATGACTACATTTGTATACATCTGGTTTTGATTGAGTAAACGAGTCTTTTGTTCTTGCAGTTGTCGCCAGCACCCTGAGCAAAATATGTCTGGTACAAACATGGAGGAGGTTAAGGACCAAGAGGTTGCTGATAGCACTCCTATGGATCTAGGTGATGGTGACAATGCCGGGGTAGACCCAAAAGCTTCAAATGAAAATCATGGAAATCCCATGCCTTCAGCCCAGCAGGAGGTGCAACTCTGCACTACAATTTAGTTCCAAAAATTTTGACATGTCCTACATGTTGACCTGTTGTCTATTAGTACAGATTTTTTCCAACATTGAATTCTCTTTTTGCTTCAAACTTTCCCTTAGCCTTAAACATTCGGTTGTCATATGGAGTTATGCAATAGGATCATTGTCTGTGATTGTGTCTTCTGCAGGAAGCAGCAATTAAGAAAAAGTATGGAGGCATACTGCCAAGGAAGACTCCCCTAATATCCAAGGTAGTTGTTTGTCTCGCATCTCTCTTTTCCCCTATCACACCGCTTTCCGCTGTTGCGATTCTAGTTTTCTCTTTATCATGATAAGTCACAAGTTGGAAATTTTCTGTCAGGACCATGAGCGTGCTTATTTTGATTCTGCTGATTGGGCACTTGGAAAGGTATTTGTGTGGATTTTCTTAGACTTGTTGTTGCTATAACTATGAAGTTTGAATGCCTGATATCTTTGACTATCTATGGTTTTTTAACAGCAAGGTGCAAAGCCGAAAGGGCCGCTTGAAGCACTCCGCCCAAAGCTACAGGTATGCTTGATGATATCTTTACGTTTTTCTTGCCTCAAGCTGGCCTAGAAGTTGTTAGGGGTTGAAAGATCCGCCGTCACTTTAAAAAAACTACACTTGTTTTCTCATATGCTGATTCTCGTATTTGATCTTTCTTGTTGTTATCAGCCCACACCGCACCAGCAAGGGCGTTCAAGGCGCTCAGCTTATTCTTCTGGAGGCGAAGGTGATGGTATGTGTAATCAATCGCCAATAAACTTGTCATGTTATAAACCTCTTCAGCTGCTCAGCACCTGAACTCCTTTTTCTTTTCGATATCGCAGATGGCGGAAATATGAACATTTCATCGGAGGACCAACTAGATGGTGGCAGCGGTGACAACACTGGCGATGAGGATCAGACCCGCCACCACGAGTAGCTGCTGCCTCCCACATCTTCGCAAATTAGAAGCCGAGGATTTGGTCGTTAGTAAAATACCAGAGCGAATAAGATATACGATCCGAATTTTCGTACTGGTTTTGTAACATGTATAACATGAATCATGTACACACTCTTGAACACATGACGTTCATTTGTTTAAAATTGCAATTTTTTTGTTTGGTCAAACTATAGGTTAGATGTTAAATTAGGGAATCGGCGAGATTTGAACTACAAGGGCAAACACTTATCTTCAAGACATGTAATAATAAGATCAAACAACATTGGTTATACGGAAAAAGATCATCTCTGAATTAATTTTCGTTAAATACTATTTATATTTAATTTTAAATTTTAAATTTAAAATAATTACCGGAGGATCGGAGAGGATTCTTTTCCTGGTTATAATGCCGTTGGCCAAGAAATCGTCAGTCAAACTTCCATTTGTGCATATTTCGAGAAATAGTGTCTCTTTTTTCGTTCTTATCGCACTGAGCTGACGGCTGAAGAAAATGATCCATTGCGCCATTTCCTCCATGTCGACCATTGCGCCACGTGGCCTAATCACGTCGCGTTCCAATCCTTCTCCGATCCGAGTCAACTCGGATTCTTCAGCTGACGGGTCACTGGCGCCGGCTTCGCTCTGCCTGAGCAGCGGATTATGTTCGTGCGGAAGACGGCGCTTCATCGAAGCAGCAGTGGCGACGCCATCGTTATTCCCAATTCGCCCTTCCACCGCCTCCGCGGCTTCCAAATTGACTTCTGAAGATTATACGGTACGTGCGTACGACCCCGTCTTCTGATTCTTGCTCTGCAATTTTGAAGGGTATTTTCGTCTGATGAGTACGTTGATGAGTGCATAGGCCATGTTAGAAGAAGTTCACCCTCCAAGACCGGGCTGGTACGAGGAGCTTTATGCATCCATTTTGAATACCGCCATGAAATCTTATGAAGCCGAGGTTAGTGATTATAATTTAATTATAACGTAAACTAATGAAAACACTTTGAAGCTTTGAGTTTTAACTATAAGGACAAAATAAATGCTAAATTAAATAGTACAAGGATTAATTTTTAGTGTAAAAATATGGTTTTTCGTTAAAGTAAACAGTACCGGAGCTTTTCGTTAAAATTTCCTTAATTATAATTTAAATTAGTAGATTAGTTTTGATTTCAATTTGGACTAATGACCTGTTTGGGATTTTGCTTCTTGACGGGGAGCATTTCTATCCTGGGTTAACTAAAAATGTTCTTGAGTCACATAAGCGCTTTCTGGAGAAGCATATGCTCTTGGAGAAATACTTCAACTTTTCAGTTAGCACCTGGATTTTTAGTAAAAAATCAATGTGCTTTTATTAACACCTCTAGCGGAAGCAATTTTGAGCAAAAATGCTTTCTACAAAAGCACTTCCAAACTAGTCTAAGTTTGAGATTAGTGTATGGTGTTTTAACTGCGATATGGTTTTGTGGGTAGATTGCAGGTTACAAGACAGAGCTCTTTGCTGAATTGAAAGGAAAAGCTGAGCAAGTGTTGGAAATTGGTATTGGGACTGGTCCTAATCTGAGATACTATGCTGCTGATAGCGGTGTTCGGGTTTTTGGCGTGGATCCGATTATGAAGATGGAAAAATATGCTCGGGCTGCTGCTGTGGCTGCCGGTCTGCCCCTTTCGAATTTCGAGTTCATACATGCTGTATGTAGATAACTTTAAACTTCTCTTATGGCAGTGCAGAAAAAAACTGAAACTGGTTATCAGTAAAACTTATATTTTCCAATGCATAATTTCTTATTAAGATGATCACCGACTGAACGAACCTAGTAAGATGCAAGTTTTCCTTTGAGCTACTTTGTTCACCCGTGGCTGAATTTTATTTTTCAAGTTTTTGTTTTCGTTTGCAATTATGTTTGCTTTTTGTTTGTGATTCATACTCGGGAAATGCTAATCTTAACCAGGTTGGGGAGGCTATTCCATTAGAGGATGCTTCTGTTGATGCAGTTGTTGGAACTCTTGTGTTGTGTTCTGTTAAAGATGTCGACAACACTCTGAAAGGTAATTTAGCTTACGAGGGGCAGAATTTCCTTTTCGTAAACTTGTAGCACTAAGTAATTGCTATCTAGTGGTTACTACTTGTGATTGTGGATGCCTTTACATTCTAAGTTGATCGTTTGGGAAGCATCCGTTTTATTTCTTTAGTTTTCGGAAAAACTGCTCCTTCTAGCTGTCAAATGATGATGTGAAATGCGCATTCATTTTTCACCCAAAGAAACTTCTGCAGACCGTGTTAATCTAAAATCCAAACTTTAAACGAGTTCATTTGTCCTGTGTCCTTCAGAGATAAAGAGAGTTCTAAGACCGGGCGGACTTTACCTGTTCGTGGAGCATGTGGCTGCAAAAGGTAGTGCGAGCTGCAAATCTCAGTTAATTGATGACATTTAATGCAAGAGTATTGTGGCTTATCATTTTGTTTGCAACTGTTATGGTGCTGCTGCAGATGGTACAATCCTCAGATTCATACAGAGCGTTCTTGATCCTCTGCAACAAATCCTAGCCGACGGGTGTCATCTCACCCGGGAAACAGGAAGGAATATATCCGACTCCGGGTTCGCGGCCGTTAATCTACACACGACCACCTTGTCCACTGCCTCATTCGTAAACCCTCAAGTGTATGGAATAGCTCGTAAGTGACAACGCAAGGCATTACTCCGTTGCGCAATATTATTGGTCTCAACACGTGACGGGAGAGATGAAAAAAGAGGGCGCGTGCATGAACCTCCGATTATCATTCGGCTTGTGGGCCTCTGGGTGTTTGCTTCTGGCTGAAGGGATGTTGAACTAATAATTGTATAATTCCTTATGAATTAGCAATTAGTGTTATCTGTTTGTTACACCTATAAGCAATAATTATGTGTGATTATCAACTTACATAAAAAGGGGTCCCATAAATAATGGTCAATTATTCCAAGCTCAGAGTTGCAGGTGCCGATTATGAGCTAGTTTGGAAGCGCTTTTAAAATGATTAAAAGAGTTTTGGGGGAAAATGTTTTTGAAACCAATGCTTAGTAAAAATGTAAGTGAATTTTGAAAACACTTGACGTGCTTCTTACAATGAACACATACTTCTTGCAGGAAGCACTTCAAGTGGTTTTGGAACTCAAAAATATTTCTTCTAAAAGCATTTTCAATCATTTTAAAATCACTTCTAAACAAGGCATATAATTATCTTATGGCGGACAGATCCATTTGATATCCAAAAAATGTTGAAGGAGAAAGTTGGTGTGAATTCGAAAAGGAAGTGTGAAGTCGGATTGAAATGTTAGCTAGATAAGACGTTTTATAGCGGTCGAAAATTGAGTTTGATTCTAATTAATAGGAATAAACTCTTACAGTGCACCGAAAAACTGGAGAATACGGAAATGATTGCAAAATAAATAAATAGATAAATCATTTTTAAACCTACTCCAATAAAACAAATTCTAAATAATATTATCTTGAATATCTTAATGCGCTTTTATGTGTATTAGGTTGGCCCCATAAAAAAGAATATGTGACAACACTTATATTTGGTTGGCCCCATAATATATGTGTATTATGGAAATTGCTTTTAAACAATCAATTTCGTTCGTTTTGATTAAATATGTTTTTAAAATGATTAGAAATATTTTTAGTAAAATTAGTTAAATTTTTTTTTTTGAAATAAACATCAAATACGTGTTTCTTATCAAAAACACTTAAAGTACTTTTTTAAAACTCACTTTATTTTTCATTAAACATAACTTAAAAAACAGTTTTACAAAAAACGATTTCGGTTCACTCTAAAAACACTGTTTTTTTACCAAAAATTATACAAAGGTAATAATCAATTAAGTTACAATAAACAAGGAATTGAATGGGGGTTATAGAAAATTATACAAAAAAGGGAGGATCTTAATGCAAAAAGGTCCCCTGAACATGCTCTTTCTTTTTCTCCCTGATATTTAGGGTTTCCATTTCTTTCTCAGTCCACAACCAGTGTCGTCTAGGTCGCAGCTCAGACTGAGTCAGAGAGTTTCTTCTCGCGCTTCGTCACTGTCGTCTGACTGTAAGCTCCTTTCTCTCTCTATTTCTCGATTTACATTTCAGGGTTTTAAAAATACCCAATTGTTTGTGTCCAATTTATGCTTCCAATTTCTAGGGGTTTTCACTAATTTCAGCTCCCAAATTTGATTTCTGTGTGTGTGTTTTTTTGTCTGCACTGTAAATTTTTGGTCTTTTTAATTATCTTACTGAGGTTGTTGAGTAATGCGTTCTATGAGGTTTAACCAGATGCCTCGTCTTCTATTGATGAAAATATTAGAAATTTACTTACTGCAAGACTTGAAATTTGGGTTAAGTTGGGTCTTTATAAAAAAAACCCTTTTGATATTGGTGGTGAAAGTCACTGGATTTGTTGAATGTATATAATTTTTTGATTCTTCGTAGTTGTTGGTAGTTAGGTATGCATTTCATTTTTTGTTTTGTTTTGTTTTGTTTTGTTTTGTATATAAGCTGAGAATTGCTAGTGGTGATGGATTAGTTTGTTGTTGAGTATTTCTATTCTGGTGTTGTACTTTGTTGAACGCTTTAAGCAAATTGCGTACTTGGTGTATGAACACAGCCTTGTCTGAATTTGTTATCTTAACTTTGTTCGTAGGTTTGCCACCGTGACTGTTGAAGAAATTTGAAAATTTTCTACTTTGTTGAAGAAGTTTAGGGGTGTAAGCAGTGTACTTATGTTATGTCTGGTTAATGTGGAAGAAACTCTGATCCTATTTATATGTGAGTTTGCCCGTTTTACCCAAGTTCGTAAGGGTATACAAAACCCTTGAGTACAGCATTATTAATGTCAGATGTTGCTAGTACATCGTAGTATGATGTGTTGTACCATGAGCCTTTGATAAGTGACACTTTGCATAGATGAGCATAACTTGTTTCTGCGATGGTGAATTCATGTAATTAATGTAAATTAGTGAGATGAACTTCAGGAAGGTTAATAGCAGACAGAATCAATCTCCCTGTGTCTTCTAAAAAATAGCTAAAACGGGGTCGCTGTGTTGTGTGGCCGCAAGGCCACATGAATCACATACGCCCAGTAGGGACTGGTCAATGGGTCCAGAAGAGCCATGCTGGAGAACTAATACGAGCTTCTCACCACCCCCATCAAGATGGGATTTCCGTTTCCAACCTGAAGAATTACAGTACGGTTTTCATGATGGTAATCAGCAATATGGGTCTTCTACTTCATCAAACAGTAAAGGAAGTAGGGGCTGGGTGAGAGGCAACAATCTCTATAATCATCACTACTCGGTGTCTGATGGTGCTGGGCTGTTTTTAAGTAGTCCATCAGACCTTTCTCAAGGTCCTCAACGGACACCTCCAGCAATACAGGAAATCAGTGTAGATGATTATGAAACTGCAAAAAAGAGAGGTAACAATTGACAATGAATCTTTATTCTGTTTTATCTGTGCAAAGTGCAAACACCCACATGATGATGTCTGCGATGAATTACTACTTCTTGGCTTTAAATCAGGTGACAGAAAGTGCAGATGAAATTATGTCTGGTAACCTCAATGATTAAGATATTTTTCGGATTCCATATATTTTTCTGGTTCATTTAGTTGGATTGACTGAGCCATAGTACCATTTTATGTCTTTTAATGATCTTACAGTGTACCAATGAATTTTTGCAAACGATCTTGCATGATTGTTGTTTATGTTATTGAGCTACATACACACACACACACATCTGCATATGCTACTGCACAATTTGAGTGTATGTAACAGTCTCGGAAAAAGATTATTACACATATAGTTCCCGTTAACATCTGTGTGCGTGTGTGCACTCGTGTTTGTGTGTACTGTGATGGTGTCACAAAAAGCTAAGCCATCTGAATTAGGTGATCTGATATATGGTTCTTACTAACTATCCTATGTACATGTCCCATTTGGTTATTATAGAGCATGCGCTGAACACTTCAATAATGATAACTAGTGTCATGCTTGACTACCTATACTTAACAACTTAAGATGGATCTCTTTCTTCTCTGTCATAGAATTTTTGGAGCTTACTGTATCTGATCTGGAATCCATTGGTTTCAAGATCATTAGTAAACTTGGATGTGGACCTTTGTTGTGCCCTTTAGATTCCCAAGTTCCACATTGCAGATGATCACAAGTTCAATTGACATTTCATACTTTTGAGATTCTCGATAGAATATTGTCGGGGATTCTCAAAGTTTCCATTTTGAAGGATTTGGTTTGGTTGCATCATTTGAAGTGTTTCCCTGATTGAGTTCTTACCGTTTCCGTTGATTCTAACAAACCATGCTTAAACAGTTACCATGATTGATCATTAATCAGATCCTTTCAGCTTTGTAAAAATAGAGAACTCAAAATTTGTACTTATTAAGGACATTCATTCTCAAGATTGTCATCATTGGCCACCATTCATGTTGTGATTCATTTGTGTTAACTTCACCTCACTCCTGTTTACTTGCTAGGTCCAGCTTTGGGGCATACATCCATTAGACCTACCATGGAGGTATTGTATAAAATTTTAACTTTGCTAGTTCATTGAATTAAGGAAATTTGTTTTAGCGTTTCCTTTCATGGTATCTTTGCAGGGAACCTCAGAAATTCAAGAAATGGGGGGTTCCATCTCGTCCCGTTCAGACAGTAGCGAGTCTGAACCCACGGTGAAGCCGTACCTATCTTCCCATCATACATATCCAAGTCGGCGTTCGTTCATGTCCAAACCTATTCATCCCTTGTCCTTTCCTGCCCAAACAGCCCCCAGAGAGGCTTCTGATCTCACAGTTACTGGGTTTCTGGAGTATGATTCTGCCACTCCTCAAAGAGATGGCCACCGCTGGAGTAGTGCCAGTAGCAGCATTGATTTTGCAGATGTTTCTGAGTCATTTGAGGCAGAGATATCTGGTCGACCTTGTAATAATGTCAATGCGTCTGATGGTTTTAGATGTGGCTTGTGTGAAAGGTTTCTTTCACAGAGATCGCCTTGGAGTTCTCGTCGGATAGTGAGAAGTGGAGATATGCCAGTTACCGGGGTTCTTTCTTGCTCTCATGTTTTCCATGCAGAGTGCTTGGAGCAAACAACACCCAAGACACGAAAAAGCGACCCTCCCTGTCCCCTATGTGCTAGACTTGACGAAGAAAATCTCCAAGAGCAGCAAGGCTTCTCAAGATTGTGGGCTGGTTTTCCAAGGCATAGACCAATTAGTGATGATGGACCATCCAGGCCTTGGGGATGTGCACAGGTGGGAGATTGCGTTGAAGGGGCTTTGCATGCTCCCCCGCGCAATAGTATGCTGATGCTTAACAGGAGTCGCATAAAAAAAAATCTTTCTTTGAAAGGTAATTTGGGCAAAGAGTTTCCAGGTAAGCTAAGAAAAAGTGGATCTCACTCTTTACAGCATTTGAGTGGAATGTCAGTTGATCAGGGAATGGTTGGAAGCTCAAAATCGAAGATGACAGCAGGCCCGAGTTTTAAAACCTGAAGAAAATACATCACATAGCTAACTGGAATCCGAATTTTTTCCCAATTGGCGATCGCTGAAGTCTGCTAATTGGTTGGAAGTCTCAGTAGATCATTATTTATCAGCCATGATTGGAAAACTTATCACCTTCATTGTATAGGTTCGATCTTGCGCAGATTGTGGGTTGAAACCCATTTTAGTAGACAACTGCAATGTTTAACATTGTTATCGTTCCTCTGTATTTTGGTTGTGAATGATTCTTCTTCCCCTTATGGAAATGAATATCTTGTTTTGTCTAAAGACTTGAGTCCTGTGTCGCACATTCTCTTTCGACATGTCCTTCACAATAATATTGCCCAGGTAGCTCACTCAACGAAATCTACATGGACCTCTTTTTCTTTTTTTTTTCTTTGAACAAACGATATTATCTCACTAAGGGGGAGGGGATGGGTT